CAAACTCGGGTTGCGCTAGGGGAAAAAGTGAGGTAGGCGAAGGACCTCTTACCATTTAATTTTGGGAGTTACTGAAATGCCAAATTAACTTCGGTTTAACATTTATTTCAGTATTAACAAATTTACTAAGTGGTAGGAGACTTTTTTTCTATGTCACTGTTTCCCCTAGCGGAAGCCGAGTTTGCTCGCGAGGGTACAGTAGCGCGGAAAACAAAACCTGCTTATTCCCATAGTTCTACTCCAACGTCTTCCACGCGACTTCAAAATTTTCATCTGATACACTGATATCAGACATTGAATAAAAAAAATAAATATTGTAACCGCATTGAGTTAGTAAGAGGTTCGTTCTCGATCACTGTGGTCTTAACCCCTTGTCTTTCGATTTTCTTGACATCCATAGTCCCCAGAGTTATTTTATTGTTACTAGTTTCCCAGAAACATAAGGAATTCTGTACTTATCGCAAGTGTACACTTACTGTGAAGTATTAAATATTAATACCACCAGAATAGTATTTCATTTTGACTTAAGGAAAACATATAATATTCATCTTTATTGATTCCCATATTGAAATCATCACCACGAATCTAACTCGATGTTATAAGGTAAGGGGTTAAATAAGTCCGCGAAATGTGTCCACGAGTGGACATTTCCGCGAAATTTCGGTAGTCGTTGTTCCAGAAGTTTGAATTTTGTGAGATGAGTTTGAGTTTTCTCCCTGGGGTTGTAGCTTGGCCACCTCCTCCGTGATGTAGTCTCGAGTCTCGTCCGCCACCTCCGCGACGTCCTGTTGGAGGCGAAATAGTCGACCTGCGGCTTACCTTCGCGGGGAAAATGGTCATCAACCTGGCGTGGTTGATTTTGACGTTTTCCCACTCTTGATCCAACAGCTTCTTCTTCGACCTCAGCATGGGTTGAGTGAAATTCGCCCGACCTTTCTTCTTCAGGTTGGGCAGCACTCTACTCAACTGCCCGAGATCGAAGAGGTGCTTTTCCAGCAGCTTCACCGCTTCCTGGCTCACGTTCTTTTGTGTTGCCATTTTGTCTTTTTACCGTCTCTTCATTATCACGTCACTCCTCGATTGTTGTAAATCGAAAACCAAGAAAGATCTGGCTCGAACGACCAAATTTGTTAGACCTTAGAGTCGACGAAAGTTGGTGCCTTCTCCTTTCTTCGCAGCAGGCTATCCTGCCTGCACGAACGGTAATGCGTATATGACTCCAGTCTGTATACCGTTCAAAGTCAGAGAAAAACAACAAGGTGTTGATATTCGTTCGTCGTCGCTTTTGCACGAGGACTAATAATCAAGTAACGACTTTGAACGGCAGATACTGGGTGTATGACCGAAATCGGTACCAATTAATAACCGAGTTTCTAACAATGAGAAAAACGGGAAGATGGACTTCTTTATTGCATATTATTACAATAACATTTTACGATATACAATAAATAATATATTCAGTCGGTGAAAAATATTTGTTTTACATTGAATTATTTAACTTACTCAAAACAGAACTGAATTCTCATGGGTTAATAACAAAATATTACATTGTAATTTACACCGAAGAATATGTTGATATGTGGTTGTTGACTTAAATATCTGATAACATTATAAATTATAAATAATAATAAAAATCTGTTCTTTTTCGAACTTGAAATTTGAAATACGTTATTGTAATATTGACAAGAGAATGGAATTCAACATACAATCGTAATAGAATTTAGAAACGATGAAAGGAGAAAGTCAAGTGGCGGACTTCCGTATTACAGACTTTACATACTGTGTACTCCAATGATTCTTGCCGGATGTAGCATACATTGTTTAGGTACAAGCGGCAAAAATCATTCGAACACCGTGTTCCCTAGACTTTGTACTATTTGCATTATGATACACGTACATAGATATATCGTTTGTATATACGTAAGTATAACACGAATAAACGATATGCCTTCGTTGTTTTTTTATATATTTGTATGGACGTCTGTGACGATTGATTAGCGCTGAAAAGTTTTCAAATTGATTAAAGTATAAATTAAATTTTGAAGCCTGATAGACACTCGAGAAACGAGTCAAATGTCAGATGTTCACTGTTAATTGTATATAAAGAGGAGAATGAGTTTGAAAGATTCTGTACTCGTTTAAAAAGGGATGCTGGTTCATTTACCTAAACACTTTCGTTTCTTCCCTGAAGCTGGTCTTTGGGTAAAACATTTTTATTCTGAAACGAAGGTTTGTCAAGGTTAAATGCAATGACAAATTTTTTTTCAAAATCTTGCGTTCGAAGTTTGTCTTGTGAAAATTCTTCAATTTTTTCGTCGCTGTTACTTTTTAAGAAGAAATTCATTTTTCAATGGACAAACAAATTGGTAAATATTCTGTAAGTATTTTTTGTACATTCGCTAAAGATATAATTGAAATATGTACACAGACATCCAAATTATTTTATTACTTGTTTCTGTATTGTTATCGATAAAAATGTCTCACGTGTTTGTTTTAGACAGTGTGAACAATATATTGTATACATTAATAGTGTTCCTCTCAACATGTGTATACATGTATACCTTTATAACATTTTCAGTTTGTAGAAATAATTGTATAACTTGATGTATGGAACGATATTAAATAAAAATGCACACTTTTTATCTACAACCAGTTATAGAAGTTCTTTCACCTTCGCAGTTTTAAGATGCCGTAATTTAATTGTAAGTGTTACATCCCTGAATTTAATATATTATCGAAGATATAACAGTTTCAATAATTAAAAAACATGATATAATTTAAGTCTAAATTCAGATACATGTTATGGGTATATTAAAATATACAAAATGTACAATATCCCTGACATCGATAACACCACTATTAAAATTATTTAAAAAGACTTGTAGGAATCATGACCACTTTCTGCCTTTAATTAATAATATACAATCAAAACAATTGCAGCGAATACGTGTGATACCCGTTTGTGTAAACTCGCGTTGCATGTGTATCATTTATGGATACTAAAGAAATGTAAAATTTTCCACACTATTATTTCGCCTTTATTTACACCAATATCATATTAGAAGAATTGTTAAATTCCATATTTTTGATTTATGACGTCGCTGATATGGAAATATAGCACTTCCTTCAAAAAATTAAAGTTGACTCTGAAATGATTTTAAAAATAGGACAATAATAATATTTTTACAAGTACAATTTTCGTTTATCGTAGCGAATAATCGTATTATCATATATATAAAAGACAAACGCATTAGTAAGCAAGAAAAATATTCTCTAGTAAATTCTTTATCAGCCTGAATCGATTTACAGCTTCTATACCTTACCGTTATATTTACTGAACGTTATAAAAATAATTTAACATTCTAAATAAACATTTCTTTGTGAATTCGAACTATATTATGCGCTTACATTTTTCCGTTACAACACCAAGTAAGGTCACTATCGAAGGTTTTTTTTAAATGACCTCGTTAATGACTGCTCAAACGTTAGTTATACGGAACTTTTGTATGCTCTGCGCATACCCGATACGTGAGGTTCTTTATGATAAGAGTCAGCCGATTAGAATGAATCAGTCGCTTGAAAATTTTCAACGTGTTATACGACGATTTGGACAATTTTTTACGTTAACTTCCAATTCAGATAATGCTGTAAATATTGGTAGGTAATGTACATAGTTGATAAACGAACAATTTATATTTCAGATAATTCACTTATTCATCATTTTTGATGAATCATTCTTATATTCGAAAGACCTTCCGTAACAGTATTCATCGACAAGCTTTAGACGTATTTCATCGAAAAGTGAATCATGAATTACGTTTCGCGCATTCTTTGAGTCACCGACTTATGTAGCATGCACCTTAGCTCATAAATTGCATCTTGAAATTCACACAAGTTTGGTGTCCAATATGGCTGCGACGACAAAGGTGTCGTGCTGTCAACTACACCTGGAATACTTATCACCTAAATTTCCAGTCTCACATAAGTACTTGACACTCGCTGAAGTAACACAAATACAATTAATTGGCGCCACAGAGTGTTCATACAAACGTGTAACTTTTATTGAAAGCTTGATTTTCAAGACTTCAGGATTTAAGGATCTTGACATACCGCTTACATTTGTTGCCGACATTGCTGGTTCTTCGTAGGAGTATACTATTATCACTTTCTACCAGTCAGTAGATAAAAAAAAGAGGAGAGATAGTATACAAAATATCGGAACGTATAAAAAATTAAAAAGCGCGGTAATATTCAACTTCTAACATCGTAACAGTAATTCTTTTCTCTTAATTTGGTATAAAATAATGTTGTACTAGTTGAATATTGTGTTGCGAATAAAAAAAATCATACTTAAGATATACACATAAAAACAATTTTATGAAGTTCATTTTATGAAACAAATATTACTTTTGCCGTGTTGTGTTAGATACATATAATAATTAAATATTTCTATAAACTCTTCTAAAATTGTTAATTAAGTATTTTTTATACATATTAAATATGTAAACATACACAAATATTACGTTAGTTTGTATTTTTATATTATACAAGGTACGGGTTATTGTGAATCACTTTCGGGAGTAAAGCATACAACACGAACAATATTATAATGTAAACCTTTTCTTATTTTGTGTTGCTCACACCATATTTCAAAGTAATTAAAATTCTAAATATCAAGTACAAACAATGATAAATGTAACATAAAATGATCCTCGCATGTTGATCGGGTTTTGAATTTTGTTCCTAATTTAAGTATCGATATTGCGATGTTCTACTTAAAGACGCATGCGCACTAGAAATTCGGACCTGAAAAAGGGCGAAGTTTCGTCGCCTCTGGAATCTGGAAGAGTGCTCTGTGTCAGTACACTGGTACGAAGACAGAGCATACACGGTGGATAAATAACTTTTTCAAACACGCGTCTTATTATCGCTCATACGTATGATACATTTTGTGTTCGGCTTGTGTTTTAATGGCGAGTAATTTGTTCGACAGAAGTTAAAACTTGCTAGGAGGAAAACGATTAAAGGTTCCATATCGCATTGTTCACGTAAATAAATTTCCCCATAAAGTTTTTCTTTAAAGAAAGCCAATTCATTCGTTTGATTTATGTCATTGGTTTCTGTGTGATGTCAAATTGTCATTGTTTAAGTTGTGCTATTTCTTACAGATACCAAATTGTGATATTTATGTATTAGAAAGCTTGAATCATTTTTAGAGTAACAGAAAAAATGGAGGCAATTGTAGAACACAAATATATAGCAAGACAGCCTGATGAGTTAACTCTGACAAAAGGAGATATTATCAGGGAGATTAAAGCAATGCCAGGTGGTTGGTGGGAAGGAACTTTAAGAGACAAACGTGGCATGTTTCCTGATAATTTTGTCAAGGTAATTTTTATGATTTTATCAAGAAATATACTATGATTCTTGTAACATGTTATAAGTTTATATTACACTGATTGGTAAAGATGTCATCAATCCTCTCAATAGTAATTTTATTATGAAAAATTAATTTCTTATTCTTCTAATAAAGAGAGGTCCCGAGCTGTTCCATCAAAATCTTAATGACCTTTTACACAATGACAGTGTTCGTAAACTTAAAGAAAATTATGTAGTATTTTAGACATAGAGAGTTAATAATACTGGAAATATTTAATGTTTTAATTTTGGACTGCCTAGTATATGGTAATACTACAAACATTATGCTTAATGAGATGATTGAGGTAGTTAACGAAATATCCACCTATGGAAACAATATTTTATTTGGATACAAGTTTAAATTTTGTACTGTATAATTTACTTTTTTTTTTCATTGCTTGTTTTCTGGTACTGTGTACACATGAATGTAGCAGCTTTCTCCCAGAAAATAAAAAATGAAATGTGTACAGATAGTAATAGTTTTTCAGATGTTCTTGGTCTTTAAAATTTATATATATTGCATGCTTATATAATAAGCATATAAGTTCCCCATGAATACTTCAATCATACTTCATTTACTTCGTTGAATATAACATGGTAATATTAATACATATCGGTCAGACCAAGACTTGAACATTAAATACCTCAGGAACTACCTATCATCTATGTCTAATACCTTCTATAGTTTTCTTCATTTTTTGAAGCACTATCGTTGTGCAGAAACTCAATAAGATATCGGTGGAATATCTTCAGAGCTCTCCTTATAAGTAATACAAATTTAAATAGACTGAATTCAATGATTTTTTACATTATGTTTCGGTTATTGTAAAGAAAATAAAATTCAATGTGTATTTTGTTGTAAAAAATAGATGAACACATTCTTGAAAACTGTGATTCATCTATGAAAAGTTTTAAATATTATTATATCATCACTGATCAGTGAAATGTTTAGTTATAACAAGTTACATGACCCTCTCTGTATAAATTTTATTCAATATCAAACAAGATGTTGTGCAGATAACACTTAATTTCACAATAATGAATACTCAAATAAATGTAGGTTTTAAAAGTTCCTTCAAGTGGAAGCACAGGAAGTAAAGTAGCAAATAATACTGAGTTTACAGAAGCTTTATTGAGAAATGGAGGTTCTAGAAAAAGATTTTGTAAAGTACTTTATGATTATGAGCCATGCAATGAGGACGAACTAACTTTGGTAGTTGAAGATACTATAGAATTCTTGGGTGAAGTGGAGGAGGGGTGGTGGAGAGGTAGACTTAAAGGCAGAGTTGGAGTTTTCCCTTCAAATTTTGTCACTCCTCTTTACGAAGACTCTGACAACTTCAGAGATGAAAATAAGGCAGAATTATGTAAAGTACTGTTCCCTTATGAAAGTGCTACTGATCATGAATTAAAATTGACTGAAGGAGATGTAATAACGGTTCATGCTAAATGTACAGACAAGGTGAAGAAAATTTACATTATTATTGTGCTGTTGCATACATGACGAACTTAAATTGTCTAAGAAATGCTAAACACTTTTTAGGATTGGTGGTATGGTGAACTAAATGGTCAACTGGGCTTATTCCCTAGCAAGTGTGTTGAAGTGATAACTGTTGGGTCGAACCATCAAGATGAACAAAGGAACGATTTCATCAAAAGTACTGCGAAACATTCTCAACAATTACAAAAGAATGAAAAAGTACACATTAAGAAAAGTTCAGATATACAAAATGTACATGCAGGTACATAACTTATTTAAGTTATCTTCATAATATTACATTACAAGAGAAGGTAAATATACTTATAGTATCATTCCATCGAAAGCAAAACCACTTAAGAATACCATATCAAGAAGGAACTCTTCAGGAGAAAGTAGCGAAGATACAAAGACTATAGGGGGTCATTCAGTTACGTCGAGCCAGAATAGTCTCGTAGGTGAAGTTGGAACTGATAGTGGTAATGAAAATACCGATATAGCTTTGGGTGAGGAGTTAGATGGGGTAGAGCGGGAAGAAGCACCGCTTTCGCACTTAACAGCTTCTCGAGCCAAAGCACCTCGACGGCGTCCACCTTCTTCACAGCGTTCACAGCTTCGAGCTGTTGAAGCAATCACAACAAAACCAGTTAGTGTTTATTTCACTATTTTTAATTTAGTTTAAATAAATACTTTTATAAAGAACATAAAAGACCAACTGAAAAGTATAAGTACCAAGTATAAAGTTAAAAAAGAATATTGGCTGATATACAGGGTATTTCACGTAACTTGACCACCTTAAATATATCGCTTATTTTGTATGATAGAAAAAATATCAGGGGAGAAAAATATTCTGTTCGAAGGCGCCAATACGGTGATGGGCCGAATTTGTTCTCAAGGTCATTTTTTTTCGAGCTTTCAAGGTCATTGAATTTTTTTTGATGGGACTACATATTTTCACTACAACACTCTTATAGCATATAAAAAAACAAATCCAACGAGGTGCAATATGTTGACCTTCACGTGACCTTTAGCGAAAAAATCATGAAATGTTTGTCAGTAAGCTCAGTACGCGTTCGGGGACGGTAAATTTCAATTTCATTGGAACAGTGTACCGTGTAATTGTCCCTGGTGCTTGCAAACAGACATTCGTATTCTCCTTTCATCGGCAGAAAACATGCGACAAAGGGTTCTACATGAATGTAGATCAATTACTGCAGGGCAACTTAAAAATGTACAGCAAGAATTTATTTACCGTCTCCCAAAATCTATCCAGGTTCATGGTGCACATTTTGAACACCTTCTAAAATAAAGATTTAACTAAAGACTGTTCCAATGAAATTGAAATTCCTTCATTTACCGTCCCTGAACGCGTACTGAGCTTACTGACAAACATTTCATGATTTTTTCGCTAAAGGTCACGTGAAGGTCAACATATTGCACCTCGTTGGATTTGTTTTTTTATATGCTATAAGAGTGTTGTAGTGAAAATATGTAGTCCCATTAAAAAAAAATTCAATGACCTTGAAATCTCGAAAAAATGACCTTGAGAAAAAAATTCGGCCCATCACTGTATTGGCGCCTTCGAACAGAATATTTTTCTCCCCTGATATTTTTTCTATCATACAAAATAAGCGATATATTTAAGGTGGTCAAGTTACGTGAAATACCCTGTATAAACATAGAAAATTATAAGCTACGTAACATTTAAATGTAATAGTTCTGTTTAGACTGTGGATATTTATGTTAGTTTATGTTTTTATAGATTCATTTACAAAAATGAACATTATATGGGACTTTAATTAAATATTAAAACGAAATTCTTATTAATATGTGTAAAACTTCATAATTCTTACTTACTTACAATAGAAAAATAAATCAACACAGAAGAAAAACAGAATCACGGTAGAAGAGTTGATCGAAATAGAACGTGAAGCATTGGCAGCAAGGACAAGAAGAACAGTAGACGAGGTTATTTCTTATATACTTTGTTTTGTTAATTATAAACAGATAATATTTAATATATTTAATGATAATTTGTTCATTTGTAGATGAAAGAATTACAAGATAGACTCTCGGAAAGAATCAGATTCGAAGTTCACCAAGATCCCGAACTCGCAAGGTAAGTTAGAAATATAGAAAATGCAAACTATTTGCAAACAGGGTGTATTTTATAAAATACTTTGTTACATTGTTTTTAACTTTGATGCAGAGTGAAAGCAGTATTGACTGTTATAGAAGCCATAGATGAATTACAAGCCGAAAAGAAAGACAGGATACCAAAATATAGTAATCAGAAATCTGATACGTCTCCTCACCTAGAGCAAACTTCACCTCCTTCTCGAAGTACTTCGCCAACTTTTCTTACATTGCCTGCCTACGATAAGTTACTGCATAAGGTGAGCACACTAATCCCAAAAGTATTAAAACATTCTTTTGGTATACTAATACGTTTAAATTCATTATTGTTGAACAATGTTTTTTTTATGAGCTCTGTAACACAGTCAGGACTTTAGCAAACTTATCAAAATTTTTGTTACCTTCAATAAGGGCTGGTATATTTCTTTTCTAATTTCTTTGCCACTTATGTACATTCACTGCTACATAAAGATAAAACGACTTTTCAAGACGTTTGTTATTTTCCAATAGGCATTGGAGTTAGTTGGTAATATTTTGACTTAATCATTATTTATTATGAGCTTAAATTCTTCTTTGTTGACTGTTTTTTTTTTCTAAAGAAGTTAGCATTATTTGGATGTCAAGTAGATAGTTGAGATAAATTGGCGGGGGGCGGAGGTACTTTTTGCAGTGATTAACTTTCGGACATATCAACGTCCGTAAATGATTCTAATGGTGACAATCTATTAAATGTAGTTGTTCCATTTATCTATTATTTTTACAATGATTTTTTGCATCAAAAATAATATATTGACGACGAAGTTTTCGTACTGACTGATGTACCATGAGCCTTCCTAGTTCTCTAAACCATAAAAGCAAGCAGAATAATCAACTGATGGGCAAAACGTTTTGTTACCTACAATCGTTATCACAGTAGTTTTTATAAATTATATGTAATCAAATTATCTGGATTTCATTAAAAATGATATGGTGACTTATCAGTGAGTCATATAGTCCTCAAATATGTTAAAAATATACATTTGTATCTCTTTTATTATTTTTTTGTTAATGTTACATTTGTATCTTGTATGTCTTTCTTGTACCTGTATTACAAAATGTATAAAATTTCAAACAGTCATTAACAAAAATTACTCAAAATAGGTTAACGCTTTAGAAAGGAGAGAAGAAATGCTGGAGCGTATAGTAAGAGTGATGGCGGAACAATGTCTTCGTCTTCTCTGGGCTTCGGAAGCCAGTCTTACAAATAAATAGGTCTCCACGTATAACTTCAGCAGTATGTTTTTTATACATAATAATATAGAAATCAATTTCTTAAATTTAATAAGAAAGCAACTAATCGCTTCAGTGCCGCGGATCATTGCGAAAATCCGGTCGAAAAGTGCCAAGCGACGTGATTGCGCTCATTCCGTTTCGTGTAAAAAAAGGTGTTTTTTTTTAATGTTTATAGTAGTGGCTGCAGTTCCATAATTAATTAAGTAATATTTAGCATTCTTACGATTACTAATTTGTGAAAATTAGTACTTTTCGACACAAAATGCGAGCAGCACTACCGTGCTGCACGGCACTTAAATGATTAAGTGACACTATTTCTAATCATAAATTTTCATTTTCCACTCTATATTTTTTACAGTACAATTGCTTTGGTTTCCCTTTCCATTCTAAATGGAAAATGTTGGTATAATTTATACTGTATTATTCTTCTATTTATTCGCGTTGTTAACGTCATTTATAATTTGTTTTATTAATATGGTAATAGTATTTACCTAATTTGGCTGAAAACAAAACATTTTGAATGTTTTTGTTTGCATAAGAAAGTATTCTTTTGACTTGTTTGTGATATCACTGTAACTGCCTAATTTCTTTCTTGCTTTGATATTTTTATCAATAGAGTAATTTTTAAGGATATAGTGAAACGATTCAGACATTTCTATTTCCATTAAATATAATCAAATAATATATTTTTCCTTAAAGAAATTTAACATTAAGTCTTAAGCATTTCCAATGTTTGTTAAACAAATGATAAGATTGTCATGATACGTTTTTCAAAACTGTATCATCAAACTGTACGATTGCACATGTAGTTAAGTCGTTATTATTTAAAATTATATAATTTGTTTGTTAAGAAGCTGCCTCGCAATTAATCGTTCTTAATTCCGTTAAATAATTCAAGTGCCAATGTATTTAATTTTCTCTCACATAATTCTATAGTATCATCATAAAAATCCTTAGTTCTAACTAGCAACACCTTGAGACATCCCTAATATATTTAGTAAGGAATATAAAAATGATTTCTTAATGAATTAGCAAAATATGTTTCCCCATCCTAAGTAACTTAAAATGGTGCTATACAATAAAATAGTCGTGATACGTTGCATCACATACGTTATAGTACGACTAAATGAGGCAGCAAACTATAATTAACAGTTTTTATCCTAATTAAAATGAGTAAGAACAGGGCGACAAGATATAACGAAGCTCCGTTATAAAAAAAGAAATTGCATATTAATAACTTTATTCCATATAATCACAAAACTGTTAAATACTTCAAATCTTTTTATTTTTTTAAATAAAATAAAATTTTACGTAAATATGAAGCAATTAGAGATATATGAGAAATACGAACAGAACATTTAATTTTTTATATCGGTATTTGATGGAATATATTTAATGCTTCACCTAAACAAATTATATGTATTATTTCAGACTCTATCTTACTTATACGTAAAGGTGTAAATACACACTGTCGTAAATAAAATCATACTGTAATTTAGCTATCATCTTGAAAAATCTAGTCTGAAAGAAACAGATTGCAGTGATTATAGGATTGAAGTGTCACAGCCAATGAAACTAACACTGTCACTATGGATGTCATTGTTAATAAGTACTTCCTTCGAAAAGTAATTGTACACCTTCTTGAAAAGCTTTTTCATTTATTTATATATTTTCTTCGCAAAAATTGTAAATTACTTTTTCAAAATGTAATACTAATTTCATTGCCTTCAAATGGAGATTGTACATTATTACATTTTGAAGGACACCGGAGGTAATAGTATCGTATAACATAGAATGTTAGTATTGTGTAAAATTTTTACATATTTCAACCGATTACAGCTTATTTAAGTTGAATACAACGTAAGTGGGATGGGTACAATTATAAAAATACAAATATTTCATTTGCATTGAAAGCGAGGAAGATATACTGGGTGTCCCGTGGTGTATTCAACGGACTTTTTCCACGTGTTCGGCAGGTCTTTCTGAATAAAAAAACGTCAAATACACTATAGATTTATTTCGTTTCATTAGTGAATTATATGACAAATAACACACTAGACATACTTCTCTTGATTTTATACAAATTTAAGTTTTTCTTATTAAAGTTTCTCACAAAGTGTGCAGAACCTATAGGCTTAGTTTCCTGACTTCTCTCAACTTTTATAAATGGTGATAAATAGTATATTAGAAGCTTTTCGTATAGTCTAATCATTCTCTTGTGTGATGAAGATTTATTCAACCAGAACTTTTAAGGAGGTTTTACCAACGTCCGAGGATCGACCTGGCTTGGGCTCGTCTTAAAAACTGGTATCTCCAAACTTGAGAAATCAATTTTACACTGCACATTCTAATACAGCATTTTCAGCCTATTTCACGTATTTCTTTGCCGTTGCCGCAGCACTGTTGCTGTTTTTGAACTTCCACATCGCATGTCGAATATGCTGTTTTGACTTTTCCATTTCAATCACATGAATAGTTTTACTTGCTTTTGATCTGTACTTGTCGACAGCTTTTTCTAGAATGGCACACTCAGAGAGATAAATTAACCACAAAGGCCATAAGGGGCTGCAGATCATTTGGACTTTCCAGAATCGTTAATATAAAATTTGATATACTCGGTACCTGTGGTAACAATTACTTATAACTCAGCCCAATATAAATGATACGGAACTTTACTATCAGGGTACTACCGCTGATATTCAGCTACCGTGGTTTTACTGTTCCCATTGGTGAGACGAACTATGAATATCGTACCAGCATATTCTGCATTTGAAGAAATGCGAACTGTCATATACACTGTTGATGAAGTAACTGAATTAAATCCTAAACGTAGACTGAATGCCATGCACAGATGTTGCATTCATTATCGGCATATTACTTACCATCGTTCTTGACACTACTAATTATATGACATTTTCTATTCAGCATGATCTACATAACACGTAGAAAATGTTTATTGAACACATTACAGGATATTCTGTATGTTAGAAAATGTTTATCTATGACAGCTATAGAACTTTGGCGGCATTTGGTAGACTAGAAAATGTGAAAAGGAAAAGATCGGGAGAGGGAGCGTTTCATCCTGGGCCTGCTAGTGGACTCGTCAGTAAGGCTTTCTAGCAGACCCTGCCTTAGACGCGGGGATATACGATGGTCGGTTAAGGACGTATATACAGTAACGAGGAAGGCTTCAGGTAGTTGCGGGAAAGGTGTAAACTCGGTAGACCTCTGATGGCGAATGTAGGAAGGAAGGTAGTGCCGCCACAGAACTATATCTGTTTGATTTTCATTAGATTTATAATATGAAATTTATAGATCTGTCATAAGTACTAACTGCACATAGGATGTAATATTTTCACGCAAACGAAATTGTGTAGCAACACGATGCATTGAAATTTACAATCCACGAATACAAACATTACAGTGTCTTACTTAACTTGACCATTTCCAGCGTCTCAATCACATCCAACGATACAGATAAATGATAGACAAATAAATTGTTTCTTTTAATTTAATGTAAGCGATAGAGCGCAGCGGCAGCCATATTTGTATACATTTTATAAGTTTGGGGAGGAAGAATCGCCGATGACCCTGGTAGCCAAAAAGAAGAGATCCCCACATGCTGCGCTGACTTTTTAATAAAAGTTAACGCACTGATGGGGCTTGGAATTTTGAAGCCAACAATATTTGAGTTCAAAGTTGCAACCTATCTATGTCTACTAAAAGATGAGCACTCTCGACAACTGAAAACTTAGCGTAATAGTAAAGTGTCTGCGTACGAAACTGCTGGCTTTTTGGCGTCCCTAAAACGCTACGCTTTCAGTTGTCGAAAATGCTCATCTTTAGGCAGATACAGATAAACTACAACTTTAAAATTGCATTTCATGCTCTGTCACTATGCTAAAAATAGTTTCTTCATTAAAAATATTTGAGTATTTGAAAAGAACAATTTCCTTCTCTTGTGAATTCTTTTTATAAATACAATTCTCTTAACATTCAAGTTATGCGAGACACTGTGTACAACACCATATTCATGAATGTATTACAACTCATTATAGAATTTAATATTTATAAGTATCTTCCATATATACGGAAAAGACAAACATTTTCACTTTAGTACACTGTTCTGTTGTACATTTTCCTTAATAAACTAAACTGGTGTTTATACTATTATATAAATAATCACATTCTATCAGTTTTTTTTATCGTATCTGTTACTGTATCTGTATATAATTTATATGTTTTATATGTAATATCGATATTATGCAATAACAATACTTGATCTCCAACAATTACGTTGAATAAACGCAGCAAATAGATATAATATAAAATAAATATTCAATTTCTTTCACTTGTAATAATTGTATGGGTTAAAAATGCTTTTGAAACAAATTGTATATTTTTATTGCATTCAACCATTTCTAACGTCGTTCATACTTTTATAAGCAAAAGAAAACAAAAAAACCCATAAAAACTTCGTAAAATAATTAAGGATCTAACGGAAGATACGGTGGTGAAAAAGATTATGAGGACGTTGAATATTTGTCGTTCAAGGTCAGGGTAACAAAAAGACCCTCTGCCAAGAAATTGTCGAGATTTTACTCTTTGCGGAATGTTACTCTAGACGAAAGCTTAAAAACGAAAACTGGGTTCAACGAATCCGCAGACAGATGCTCGGTTGCTTCTCTCTGCCTACAGGATAAGACGTTTGGGTAAAATACTCTGTGCTGACTGTATGTGCGAGCGCGTACTGACAAGTCGTGCGTCCTCTGCTACGTCTACCTGCTCTTCACGCACAATTCCGCTAATATTATATACATTCAGACTTATGCTATATTATTTAAAAACTTATTCTACAAGAATAAAAATTTTATACATAATTAATTTGGTTCGAAACACACTCTATTCTTTAAGGTCCATAACAAATACTAACAAATCCGTTGTAAACAGAAAAAAATCATATTTATCTCGTAATATCATTGACAAATCTTTTTATACTTTTATAAAAACGCTTGGTATAAGATTTTTAGGTAGAGATGTGTTTATCACCACTTCGATTCACAAAACTGATTTATGACAATAATAGTCCTAAGTAAAATGAAAAGCAATTTTTCTACATTTTTATATTGTTAGTTGTATCTTGTTAATTTTATAGAATGCGTTCTTTCCAGCTTGCTGTGACACTGATTTAAAATGTGAGATATTTGATTAATTGCTGACGTTCATTATAGCCGAATATCTCGATATCATCGATCTGTTATTTAAAATAATTTTTCTGCTTTTTTAAAATTTTTATTTAGTTTGTCAATCGCATAAATGTATAGTAGAATATGATAAAATAAGGCGGAAAGTCACCAGTGGGTTACATGTGTTTCTATCAATTATGGCGAATAGACCCAGCTATGAGTCCCTGTATTATTTTATTATTTTCTATTAACACGTTAACTGCAGAAATTTGTCTTATTAACAATATACATGTTTATGTGCTGAATTGCGCACTCATTATTTGAGTGTATTCTATTACATTTATAAGACTGTGAATATTACTGTTTACAAATTAAATGTTTTTTCATATAATCTAATGGTACAGAATATTGATGACAGTGTCATCAATAAATGTGTGTTAAAAAAATTACGCAATTTTAATTCTTTCCTATTACTATAAACTCTATCCTATTACTATAAAACAGTTTAAAAAATACTTTTCGTTAACAGATTGAAATTATAAAAAATTCTTGTTACATCACATCGATCTCCTTTATTATCGGTCTAAGCATACGAAATATCGTAATTCACCAGACAGTCATGTTATAAAATAATAGCATAACGCAGTGACCCACATGTGGGTCATGGCGGCAAAAAAAAGCAACATCCACTGAAAAAAAATTGTTGTAATCTATTCACTATATGATTGATAAGAGAGCAACGATTATTCTTTAAAAAAAATAATAGAAGGTGTGCCATTAACATGCATTTCTAAATAAATGAAAGACTTATTAAAGCTTGTTTTGTACAAAGAAGCTTTTTTTTTAAATAGTCCCCATTATTTTATGTTTTACTCTGAACACAATATGTGTATCAACGAATTCGTTACCAAATGCACGTTAATTGCTTCTGTTTGTAAAGTTTATAATGTTTAGTTCTTCATTGAAAGCATGTGAATAGTGGTTAACAATTTTTCTGCAAGAGATTACGGAGCATGTGATTGTATATCATTTTTGAACCACCCGTTAATTCAGAATCAAGAATTTATGTTAACCGAGAAAGTGAAAATTATTTCCTTTTTATTCACACTGGTGTTTCAAAATATTGCACGCACGTAGAGTTTCTCGGAATCTGCAGAATTCATAGGTTTAGAATAATGTATGTCTAAGCCACGATGAGGATAAGGTACTAGTAAATACTCGAAAAATAGGATTCCTCCCTTTAGTGAGGATTAGCGAAATATAATGAAATTGCTATGCATTTTTTAGTGGACATGCAATACTTTGGAATACCAGTGTATTATTAGTGTATATAATAGTATAAGTGAAAAATAAATGTTTGTCAAAATATGGGATAATGAATGCATTTGTAATACTTGGAATGAATTTCATGTACTTAAAATAGTGATTTACTATTATGTATGGTATATATATATATAATTTACGAAACGACTTAACAATTTAATTTTTTAATTTATGGTATGCTTACAAAATTTGTTAAAGCACATTAAGTCGTCAATACAGTCAAATTGTAGCACTAATGTATTATTATTGTATCAAACCTTGTCAAAACCTTTAAAAACTTAGCAACTGTCTGTTAGTTATTAAATAATTGTTATAGAAAGCATGTAGTAGACAATAAGAAAGTGGATGCAGTGAACACAATTTCTATTAACAATATTCCCAGATAGCACATGACGCCTTGAAGACGGCTTAAAAGCGCCTTAGACTTAAAATAGCCTTTGGGGAAACGCTGTGATGAAGGTGGATTTATCGGTGAAGATTACGGTGTCCCAGTCCTTGGTCCGCGTGAGCCCGTGCCTATTGCAGGTGTTGTTGAATGTGTCGCAGTAGCATGTATTCAGGGACACTCGTATTCCTCCCACGGCTAGTCTTTGTTGAGCGTGACTTAGTGTTAGTGAAGGATCCTGCCGAAATAATCTCAGTATCTTTCGGTCCTGGCTCAATGGAAGTGCCCCAACTTCGACCACGTTTAGGAAACTCGTCGACGGTTCCAGTCTCCTGCCACCGCTTCATCCACTTCTTTACGAACGTTACCGACTTTTGCATATATCGGTCTACCCCTACATACGAAAGTTTGGGCCCGCGAGGATGCGTACATAAGAACACGGGTTCGAGACGAGTAACGTACATAGCACATATTCTGACTTCTTTCACTTTCTGTCGCTGACTGCTTCCAATACGCCCTATTGTATCATATTGCATGTTACCGACACCTCTGCCCTTCTGACCCCGTCGTGATTCCTGTTCCTTTGAACCACGTTTTTGAAAAAGTGTCGACATGCTTTTAATGAACAGAGTGTTTATTTTCTTCTTTCCTACTATCATACACCCAGATTAACTGGGACATGTAAATAATTTATTAGAGTATATCTTTTTCTCCCAGTAATAAAACAAACACTTGTAGTTAAACATTATTATTAAACATTATATAATTACATAATATTTGTACTTTTCTTCCATCAGTCCATCTCTTTGCTTTGTGAAACTACATAGATGCGGGTGTCTCAGGTCGGGTAGTACAACCGGATAGGTGATACCATAAGAGAAAAAATAACTTGAAAAAAAAGAATCAGTCTTTTTTCGTTTGAGGTTTCGCTTTCGAGAAAATTGGGTTTGCACATTCATCTAATTAATCTAATAAAACGTGTGTATATTCGTGCTGGTAATAAGTAGAAACGGCCTGCAATGAACAGACACGTTAGCTATTTACAAGTCCTATTCTATTGTCCGTGTGTCCGAAATATTTTCATATTCGATTATCCCGAAAACAAAACATCACCCGAAAAAATTTTATTGTTTTTTTCGACTTATTTTTTTCTTATAGACTCACCTCCTTATGGTGTGCTATTCGTCCTGTGACACCTCATATAGGTACTCATAAAGGAAATTTATTATTGTTAATGATTTCATTATTTTATTTAAAAATTCTTTGGTATATTATATAACTCATAATTACAATTTTACAGTTATGTTCTTTATAACTTTAATGTTTTTAATTACGCAAAGATTTATATATCGGTGAAATTTCACAGATAAAATGTAGTAGACTGTTACAAGGTAGAACTTTCCAAAAAGAACCACCTTCTGAGTTGGATGATTTCACAAGACCAACACATCCTTTTATGTGTGATGGTTCGCCTTCTCCCCATGCTCGATACTTAAAACAAGAAAGTGGTTCATCTAAAATTTATATTATTATAGTTAGTCTATATCGAATAACCTTTAGAAAACTTACTTATAATGATTTTAATAATTATTTCAATTATATCATATTAGACCATTTAATTTAAATTCTATTTTAACAAACAGGAGGAGACGAAACGAAATAGAAGGGAAGAGTTGTGGAGGTAGTGAAGTGTAGTGAAAGAATTCAACTATTTAGAGATAGTATTATATGTTAATAATAATTACTGGTTAATTATTGAATTAGTATTATTAATTAGTAATTAACTATATTCATAATATTAGTAATTATTAATTAATACTGTAACATTAATTATATTAAATTATTAAAACATTATATTGTTATTCTTTATTTTAAAAAGAAAAAATCTATAATAGTCTAAAATTAATGCTTTTATTAAAAATTGTACGTACCAAATTCGTTTTTCCAAATTTTCTCACGGTCATTGTTACTGAGTCCAACAAAGGTTGGTGTATTTTGGGAAATATATTTTGCCAAACCACTCGTGCGTTCCTCACTAATTATATGAGCGAGTGATGAATTTATTTTTTGGCAAGAATTTTGTGCTTGGCTATAATTCACATTATTACTCGAAAATACGAACACACCTGCCGTAGGGATGCAAGCCAATGTTAAGTTTGGACCTACAAGAAGTTTAGAAAACAATTTTAATCCACTTATATTTGTTTCGGTATACTTATTAATACGTATGTAAAACATATTGTATCATGATTAATACATACTTTATTAATATGATCTATTAATATACTTACTTATAACTAGTACACTTTAGCATATTTATAATATACTTCAAATGTACAGTAAATCTGCTGGAAGGTATATGGTAGTATATTTAAAATGTATTTATTTAAAAAATTTACCGGGCAAGATATAGCTGGGGTACATACTATAATATTTGTAATTCTTATCTCTAATAAGAACCGTAAAATTATGAATCTCTGGACACTGAAGAGCCTGACAAATTTTCTTTACTTTTTTATGTTTTTTGTTCCGAGTAGTTAAGGAATCCCATTCTGTATTAATGAAACAGAATCTTATGTTGAAACCTTTATAGTACTGATAAGTATCGAGTGAGTTAGTGTAAGTAAAGTGAAATTTATTAATAACAATATATTAAAAATATGAATCAATATATTGATTCCAGGATTTTTTTCCTTTTTTAAAATATAAAATTAACTAAATATGAACTATTAATGCAGTAATTCAATATTTTGTAATTCCTTTTACAATTCATTACAATAATCGTCACTACGCTTATAATTTTTAATCCTCTTTCACTACTTGTAGTCATGAAGTGAACAATTACTAAAGTCTTTAATTGTTTGACTCAAACAAGAATTAAGCATAAATACTAATTGCTTAGTAATTATTTCAAACATATGACTTTTTACAAACAAATCATTAATGCACTTATTTACTTTATTTTAAACACGATACAAACGTTAAGAAAAGGGATTTTGTTTGATTCTTAGCTTCAGTAAATTAGTGTATTCATTATAAATTTTCTTAAATACCCAACGATCTCATAATTACAACCGTTACTTAATAAACAAAATGCACATTCTCCTCTGAAATAAATACTATATAAATAATTTAGTATGTTAACAAATTAGCTTCCAGTTAACTTAGGAAGAAGTGTGTCTGAAATATTTATTGTATGTGAATGAATAGATCAATGTATGGAAAACTATTGTGAGTATGAACATTTGTTGTTTCCGAGGTTCACACGAGCGTAAAAACAAGTAAACCGCTGACAGATAGTCGCATCGCATAGCTGCAGCATTAGAACAATTGTAAAATACATATTAGTTGTATTCGGAAATATAATTGCTTCTTTTTGCTTAAAATAAACGTACTTATATTATTACAACAATACTGAACTGCGTAATGCAAATTTTTAGGGTCTACTTCATCTAATATTTTTATCAACTTTGGTGCCCTGTATCTTGGTTAAATAAAAAACGGGCATCTACGGTTTTTCGCTTTTAATAAAGGCTAGGGAAACTACAAAACGCACACAAGTTTGTTCATTTTTCGATGTAACACTGCTAAACGTTTCCTTGCCAGATGAAGTATATGTATATGTACTATGAGACCAAATAAATTAATATGCTACTTCAAAACCTTTTTAATTATTTACATTATTACTGGACCATACCTAACAACTGTTAAGTCTGCCATAGAAACTTCTAATACGATATCAATAGCAAAGTGTATCTTACCATAACGACTCTTTTCTAAGCCATAGTTAAACGCCAGAGCCTTCTTAGCCAAGGCAAACTCTCTGCATTCGTTCACATTTCGTACAGTTCTTCTTGAAAGTATTAACTGATTTGAACGAGCATTCGATTTTATAAGTTTGTAATATGGTAAACGTCTTGAATTAATTTTACAACAGCGATCACATAAGATTACGTTTATTATTAGATATACTGTCAAACAAATGACCAACACTTGATTCATTCTGATGATATGAAAGTGACTCACTTAACTGAATGATCATGAATGAATATGTATGATTTATTGCATATATGATCTCAAAATTCCATTACAATTAAGCATAGAAACGGGATTCAGTGTTGTATAACAGTATAATTAACTTGTTCGTCAACATGATCTATTCACAATGCAAACTGAATTCTAAATCATGTAGCTGGTGGCTATTAAAATCTGACATAGTAGGATGCTATTATTTTTTTGTCGTCCAATTTCCATTCGAGCTTTTGAATCCAAGAAATACACGATCAAAATTAAAATTGTATACTTGATTCCGATAATAGAGTAAAATTGTGATTATGTATAGTTAAATGTAATTCAAATTGATAAACTTTAAACTCATTTTGCTTAAGGAATAATACACGCAATCTACATATTAATTTCTAGCTCAGCCAGACAAAATCAGACCTAGATACAACGTAGAACAAATCTGGACTTCACCCAGAGTTGATCGTTAATTCACATGTAACCCAAGTCCACCTGAGACACCCTGAAGCTACTTTAGACTTTTGGACATAATTCAAATTTTCTATGGTCAATTTATCACAGGCAAATACTGTAGGAGAAAAACGTGTCTGCCAATAGAGCTACCCAGGCCTTTAACGATTCTTCCTCTTCTGTTTCATACAACCTGCAGAAATATGATTGCCGCCACAGTCTACCGCTCGAAATACCTTATTTATATTTAAGCAAGACCCAACTTTAATTTAGATATCCAGAAATTATTGTACATTGCGTAGGGTACCTTGTAGCTGATAGTATAAATAGAAAAATGAATTATTTGTCTTAAAAATGAAGCCCATTAGAAAGAAATTTTAGTCTGCTTTTCCAATTTATTTTTTCATAGAAAAGCACCACTCCTTTAGTTGTATGTACCACCAATTACAAGGAATAAAATGTATGTTACGTCTACATCAATATAGGACTTCAAAAGTAAAATTTCTTATATATTATTGAAGAAAGGGATATTTTTGAAGAAATGAATTCTCGAAATCGTAAAATATAGATTTTAATTATTGTTTAAAACCGTCATTAAATTTATCCGCAGTGTAACAATAATACAGTATTAACAGGTACTTTGAACAGCATATCGAATCAGTTTAGTTTTGTTCATATTTTTTGTTAAGAGCAGGTACTTCGGATTTGTTTGTAATTTTGTTTGAAATTAATGTTATTTTACAAAGTAACATCGTTGTGCAATTGCTTTAGAAACTTATGATAATACATTGTTCATTTATTCGAATTGATAAAAATTAAACTTGTGTTTGGAATTTCGGAACTTTAATAACCACTAAAAATCACTTGCAGTTTTTAACCGATTCTAAAATAGGTTGCACGAGATTTTTATTAAGCTAACAAAGGATCAACTGCTTTCGTCACCTGCTCAAATATAGCATCGATGGTACCTTCGGCGTTGATCTAAACAGAATGTTACCAAAATTAACTTAATATTTCTAATTTCTTTTAACAAGTTATCATATGAATACCTACCCTGACAACTTTGTTTTCGTAATGTTTAACAATCTCTCCGTTTTTAACATTAAATATTTCGATCCTTTTCTTGATCGTTTCTTCGTTATCGTCAGCTCGTTGCGAGACGGCTGCACGACCCAATAGCCTTGTTTTCATCGTTTCACTCGAGACATCGAAGAAAATTATTAAATCAACGGGACAGACCTAAATTATTAAACTATTCTTTACAAATACAATTTTTTCACAACTTTGAAACTATATTCTATCTTATATGTAATCGAAAACATTTATGATTTTTTCATAATATCTAATAAAAGGCGTTACTGAAACGGTGGAACATTTATAACAGAATCATATTGTAGCCTAATTAATATATTTCGTTTTTTCTTAATAAAAATCTGTTTAACGATTTGATGAAATTTTTCCAATAAATATGAACCTAAACGCGATAAAAAAAAATTAAGTGTTTTTGGTTATGTATATCGACGTATGTACACATTTATAAATCAGGTATTAATCTTTGTGGAATCCACCTTGTGAAAGTGTCACGCATTTTTATTAACACTTTGTACACATGTACAAGGTACCATGTAACTTGTGGTACAGTCGGGTAGGGACTGATTCTACATGAAAAAAGAAGTTATAAATATACAATAAAATTTTTTCTTTTGAGATACTGTTTTCGAGAAAATCGACTTCGAAAATCTGCTGGATATGCATACAATTGAATAAGGCTTGGCTACCACGTCTGTTCATTGCTTTTGTTTCTACTTATTGTCACTGAATGCATACGCGTTATACGAAACTTGAAAATCGGTTATCTTGAAAACGGAGACTCATATTAAAAAATGTTTTTCTACATTTTCATCCTATTTTTTCATGTAGAATCACTCCCTACCCGATTGTACCACCAGTTGCATGACACCTTGTACATACATATAATAGAGGGTGTCTCAGGTCAGGTAGTACAATCGGACAAGAGGTGATTTTATAAAAAACAATAAATCAAAAACGAAGAATAAATTGTTTTTCATAGAAGGCTTCTTTTGCGCGGAAATTATTCATAGTGACGATAAGTAGAAACGGAATCTGATGAACAGACGCGTTAACCAAGTCCTCCTCAATTGCACGCATATTCAGCAGATTTTCAAATTCGATTACCCCGGAAATGAAGCATCATCGGAAAAAATGTTACTCCGTGTTTCAATTTGTTTTTGCGTGTAGAATAACCGCCTGTACCGTTGTACTACTCGATTTAAGACACCCTGTACATGTATATTGTACATATTATACTTTGGTTATTAAATAGCATTACTATATTAGCCATGGCCGTTGTTAAAATTATTTTCCTTGTCTTTACCGTATTCCAAATATTGTCCAATAAACCAATACATTTGAGAATATGCCAATTCCCGATCATGAACCGGAATATTGGAATTCTATTGGATTATAATTTCAAAAGTGCTTAAGTACCGTTAGTCACCGTTTTATTCTATATTATGGATTACACAAATACCATGATAGCACTTACGTTTTTCTCAAAGAGAAGTCCCTGTTCTAATTCACGAGGATACCCGTCGATAAGGAATCCAGTTTTCGTCGCACCTTCCGATTTAGCTTTCTCCATCCGTTCTCTTATGAGGTCCAACACAATGTCCTGCCGGAAACCATATGATCTTCACACTAAGAAAAGCGGTATTCATTCGTACATCACGAAAATCTCATGTTATATAATGTTACTCTATTTTAATATTTCTCAATCAATCGCAAAAATATGATTTCTGTTACTATAGTGCTACTTTAAAAACAGACAACTCTTCAGATCAGAAGAATATTAAATTTTGAGGGTCGTTTTTGTAAGATTACTTTTGTAAAATATTTACATTTAATAGATTATTTATCTACATTTACTAAATATATATATATACAATTTTTTTAATTTTATCTGAAACTTACGTGATTCCTTTATTAATGTGTTTCTGTAAAATATCATTTACCGTGGGAACGAATAGACCTTTAGACATCAACTCTTGAAGTGAAGCGCCTCTAGGGCTACCACTAGCGACTTCCTCCCTCAAGAGATCACCGCTGCTTATGTGATAGAACCCGTATTTCGCGATAATACGTTCGCACTGAGTTCCTTTGCCGCATCCCGGTCCACCGATGATCCAAATTGTCTTCATGTTTACAAAGTCGTTTGACGTGAGTTCCCTTTGTGAATGTACGTTACAGACTCCCTTTGTAAATATTCCAGTCTCCTCGCCCTATCAAGAATATATTACATTTTTACGTGTTAATTAGATGAGCCCATAGTGTCTTGAAAAAATGAATGGACTTGTAATAAATATATTTCACTCATTTAAGAAAACTATTCGATGAGGATTTTCAGATAACACAAACCACCAGCAATAGAAAATACATAATTGATTTTCTAAATACCATGGCTCATAGGTAGTTATCTTATTGACTAAACAAAGCCTAGTAACTGACATTAGTTATACGTGACCATTATATTTTAAACTACTAATACATTTCCTAAGTAACGGGCCTTATCAGTGGCCACTCAAAGATGACTAGTATACAGCTTTGAAAGCAGTATAACTGTACTATGTGTATCATGCTTAATAAAATCTCAAACACAACATGATTCACCAGTGGCCATCGCGTCATTAATGATACATCCTTTAGATAGCGTGACCTACCCGCAGTTACTTTATTACAGTCAACCCTCAGACAGTGGACGGTTCGATCGTCTGTACGGGAATGGGTGTCTGGGTCCGTTTGAACTCATGGCACCTATTTCCAATGCACATTCGAAACAGTTTCTTTTAATTTTTTAGGCTTTTTTTATTACTGCTTACTATTTTCTCAATAACATAAAGAAACTATATAATAATTATAAATAAACAATATTTATTATCAAATTTTACAATTTATACAAATTATATTTTTATAGAGTGTGTGTTACATGTACATTTAAATTTAGTTTTAAAAAGGAACTTTTAAATAACTACAAAATAATATATAATTTTTCAGAATAATAGTAAGAAATTTAAAAGAAAATTATTCTTATAAACTTTCCTATATTTTTTGGTAATTTTTATAATGTTTCGCTTTAGTATTTATATTTTATTGGTTGTTACACTTCGTTTCGTATGTTCTCTATCTTCCCTTGAACTTTAAGGCAATTTTCATACCTGAACGTTTCATAATAAAACAAAACGTTATGCATTATATGCAGCCCAGTGGCTACATAAATTCACCTTGATCTACGCGATAGTGTTAAAAATAGTTACAAGTAGACTGCGGATGTGTATACAGATAAAAAATTTCAGACACTAATTTTTAAATATGAAAATTACACACTGATATTTTCTTATGTCTATGGTAATATAGAAATATTATTAAACTTTGATAAAGCCTTCATTTTACTGCGTTTTGAAAGTTAAAATTCATTACTTTATTTTTTAACAAATTCTATCGTTGCTTGTAATATGCTGCAACGTATCTTTACATGTCGTAATATACCATTCTGGTTTAGTATCTCAAAATGGTGTCATTGCAGTGACACGTATCATCATTAATCTTCCTCCTAATGAGGAAGCTAGAAATTGACATGTCCTCGTATACATAAGTACTTAAAGTCTACGAAATATACATAGTTGTTCAAATATTTTGATAATTGACAGTATTGAAAAATAATGCTAACTTTTTTATTTCATTTAAGTCATATAATAACAGCGAAGTATGGTTGCCGAGAATATACATTACTTCATCATACAAAAATATTAGAAAATATCACATGTAAAAGAAGTATTACGTAACACTCTATATGTATAATCAACACGAAAAGACGTTTTACGGACATTTGAAACTAGGGAGAAAGTTCCCACTTGTGCTATGTATCCTTTATACACATTAGAAAAACTTCAAATGTTTGTGAAAATATCCCATTTTATGAAACAAAGTAGACTAGAGTATGTAATTAAAATTAAAAGGAAATTAGCGCTGTAGTAATATTGTAAAAAAATTAAGTTTTTAATTATAAAATGATCATTATAAACAAATACTATGTTACTTAAAGTATGTTGAATAATGAAATTGGCGGGATTACAAGAACATGAAGATTATGTAGTATGTACTTTGATCAGTTTACTGTGTCTAAAGATACACTGGTAGGCACAATTAAACCTCACGTGACTGTTCACTTACTATTTGACAAGCATCAGACTCGAGATTTCACTATTAACTGCTGAGAAGGATAGTCAAAGCTTTCGAGCTTTTGTGTGAAAATTTCGAACATATCGATTTGTCATTGGCTTGTCGTCATCAGGTAGGAGTCATCTTCACGCATGTGCAACGATGTAAGGTCAGCATCTTGCTAGCAAGATGGATATAGGATATATGACTATATATATGTATGAGTATACATATACATACAACACTGCAATGATCTTGCCGTCTGAGCTATATGTATATCGTCCTATTACGAATGTTAATAATCATTGGAGCATTGAATACAGTTAAATCTTCGGCACCTTGAATTTCGCAACATTTCTAATGTTGATGTCAATGTAAATGAAAACTGTCCAAGATCAGTATTGAAATTAATAATCATATTATACATGAATAAACTTCGTACTTTAATTTTACGAAAAATGTCAAATGATATTTAATTGAAACGACAAATAATTCTTTATTTTTACCTTTTGTTCGAAAGTATACGTAAATACACAATATTGTAAAATGACACTTAAAAATAAAAATATTGAATAACACAGAATAGACACTGTTTGGAATTGTATTTTAAAATAACCAGTGTATAGTTCAAAAGCAGAATCTCGACTAAAGTGAATTCGACGATTAAGCTATCCCCAAAGAAATAGGTGGTTCACTGGCATTTGATGTATGTATAAATATATACAGTTTGAGCTCGTGGAGAACACAGTTACGTTTAAAAATAAATATGCGGTAAATGTTGAATTCTAGATTCTATTCACGTAATCAGGTCACGAATTATAACATTATCTTAATGTTAACGAACACAATAATTCCCCACGACTTCGTATCCTGGCACATGAAAAATTATGTATGTACTCCTTTTATGCTAAATCAGCTCCACCTATTGCAAGTGCGTCACAACACTACGCTAAAAGCATAAAACAGTTTGAAAGACAGATTGTTTCATTTTTGTCTTAATTAAGTTATTTTAATACAAGAGTACTACAAATTAATGACATAGAATTAAATAAATTAGTCAAGTTAAATTAATCATATTTAATAAATATAATTTCATTATTTTATTAAAAAATGATCAAATAGAACAATCATTGCCAGATAGGCGATTCTATACAAGACATTATTAATAACAATATAACATGTTTCTCAATAAGATTTTTTTTAAATTGTTCGATAAATTAATTAATAAGTAATAAGTTATATTTGTACGATATTCTTCACAAAGGTTTTATACACTATTTAGATATGATACACGTGGATGATCATAATTATTCCTAAAACTTTTCAGTAACTGTAGTAGGACTATGATGAGTCATGCTGTCTAGAACATTTTCATTGGGATAGAACAACACATAGCTATACTATCCTGGAAGATTTATTGATTGTATCTGGTGGGTACTATCCATAAAATGTTTTATTTCTTATGGTAGGATGACCACAAATAAAGACGTAATTATTCGTTAAAATAATTTAAATGATATTTTAGAAGTTAAATAAATCAATTTCAATTTTATAATATTAAGTAAGTAACCATTATCCTTTAAATCAATGCAAGTTTTTCCTCTTTAATTATCTAATCATATTTATTATTTTTATTTTCCTTTTTAAATTATGTAGTAAAATTTACACTAAACCTAATTATACTTGAATTGATGAAAATTTAAAATTATTACTTTTCAAATTGTGAAAATTAATCGTGAAATTAAGCTGAATACTTTGGATAACATACAATGTTTTATTAACTTTAAATTCTAATTTATGATTGGTCTTTCGCTTCTATCGACAAGGCTATTTCCGTTGAGTGTGAACGATACTTAATGCTTGCAGATTATATCCAAGCAGAATCATCTGGAATACAATTTACAGGTTAGAGAGACAACTGAACTCGTGCACAGTGACTGATTTTGGAAAAAGCCGAATAATCGTAAACGAAATCATAAAAATGGTAAGCTACAAACAAGAGTATTATTTCAATAATAATTTACATGGTTTTCTTATTTATTTAGTAATTTGAATATAACTGTATATTTTCAATTTTATTACAACCCGCTTTCTGTCTAAAATAACTTAATAAAGAAAATTCCTCCCACGTTAGGAAATACTGTTTTTGTATCAAAATAATAAATAGGAGTATTCAAATACGGTGATATATATACACTAAAAATGAATTACTACTCATAAAACTAATTGTCGTATTATGGGTTGAGTATCGCTAACCTTATATGGAGATTAATTTCGGCTTACACCCACAATGTACATGTGGAAAGAATCTTAATAATGCGACATCTCTTCCTTTCGTGCAGATTTCATTAGACTAATTAGTTAATATTTACAATTACTACGTCACATAGCAACAGAACAAAAAAGCAAATTCATTTTTAATTCATTTGTTTCCTTAAATCTGACAAACTTTTCATGGAAACTATCACTTCATATGTACATTTGAATGTAAAATAACAAAAATGGGAAGATATATGACAGTATAGTATCGTTATTGTTCTTATTATTAGTATCATCATTATTAACAGATAATAAAATTTATACATTATCTTTTACAGCAACCTCAAATAATATTGCTTAAAGAAGGGACAGATGCATCCCAAGGAAAGCAGCAGCTAATATCAAATATAAATGCATGTCAAGTGGTAGTGGATGCTGTAAGGACTACTTTGGGTCCTCGTGGAATGGACAAACTCATTGTGGACCAAAATGGAAAAGCTACTATTTCGAATGATGGCGCAACTATTTTAAAACTCTTGGAAGTTGTTCACCCTGCAGCAAAAACCCTGGTGGATATTGCTAAATCTCAAGATGCAGAAGTAAGTACTACTTAATAGCTTTTGTGATTCTGTAATGAATTTAAATGGGAATGTAGGAAATAAAACATTCTCCATCAACTTGCAGAGAACATTATATTTAAGAACTTGTAGACTGGTAACATCTTGGAGATACGTAGTTACCTCAATAATGTTCAAACATTTTATTTAAATATCTTTACTGAATTTATTAATTTTGTTGTGTATGTTATAGGTTGGTGATGGTACCACAAGTACCGTCTTATTAGCAGGAGAATTTCTAAAGCAGATGAAACCTTTCATCGAGGAAGGAGTACATCCACGTATTATGATCAAAGCACTTCGTCTTGCACTTCAGGTAGCAATTGATAAAATAAATACAGTGAGTGAAAAGATTGATAAATCCGAAAAGACAAGGCTAGTGGAGCTCTTAGAAGAATGTGCAGCCACCTCTATGAGTTCCAAATTAATTCATCAACAAAAAGAATTCTTCAGCCGTTTAGTAGTAAAAGCTGTTACGATGCTGGACGATATGTTGCCTCTAAATATGATTGGAATTAAGAAGGTAACTGCAAGAAAGTTTGGAACTAATGAAAAATAAATTATTGGTTTAATCTCATTATCGCAATATATCTTATGCTTAGGTTTCTGGTGGAGCTTTAGAGGATTCCGAATTAGTTAAAGGCGTAGCTTTTAAGAAAACATTCTCTTATGCTGGATTCGAAATGCAACCCAAAAAATATAAGGACTGTAAAATTGCTCTGTTAAATATAGAATTAGAACTTAAAGCAGAGAGAGACAATGCAGAAATACGAGTGGATAATGTTATAGAATATCAGAAGATAGTTGATGCAGAATGGCAAATTTTGTATGACAAGTTAGACAAAATTCACAAGAGTGGTGCTCAAGTTGTGTTATCCAAATTACCGATTGGTGATGTTGCTACACAATACTTCGCAGATAGAGATATGTTCTGTGCAGGCAGAGTTCCCGAAGAGGATCTGAAAAGGACAATGAAGGCCTGTGGTGGCAGTATCTTGACAACAGTACATGATATTAAAGATTCAGATTTGGGCAGGTGTGAGATGTTTGAAGAAAAGCAAATTGGCGGAGAAAGGTATTTAAATTTATAAGATGCAATTAGAATACTTTGTTATCGGGTACTATATAGAAATACTTTTTTTCCAGATTCAATGTGTTTTACGAAGGATCACGTGCGAAAACATGTACATTTATATTACGTGGAGGAGCGGAACAGTTCTTAGAAGAAACCGAAAGATCTTTACATGACGCTATAATGGTTGTTAGACGTATGTTTAAAACCAATGCCTGCGTAGCAGGGGGAGGAGCCATTGAGATGGAACTATCCAAAATTTTAAGAGATTATTCTCGTGTCATAGCAGGAAAAGAACAACTATTGATCGCGGCAATAGCTCGTGCACTGGAAGTTATACCAAGGTATACAAATTTTAGTTATAGTATCGATTATGTAAGACGTAAATGTAATATAATTATACAAATTTCAGACAACTGTGTGATAATGCTGGTTTTGATGCAACAAACATTTTGAATAAACTAAGACAGAAACAGCACCATGGCATGAATACCTATGGTGTTGATATCAACACTGAAGACATTGAGGACAATATGTCAGCTTATGTATGGGAACCCGCTATTGTAAAAGTTAACGCACTCACTGCTGCAACTGAAGCAGCTTGCCTTATTCTATCTGTTGATGAGACTATAAAGAATCCTAAGAGCAGTCAAGATGCACAACCTCAGATGGGTCGTGGCATGGGAAGACCAATGTAAACGTTGCTTTGTTGCATGAGCAGAAATAATAAGCTTGAAATTTAATATTAATAATACGTGCACTGGATGTATTGAAACCAAGCGGTTTATACTACATATTATGAACTACTGTAATACCCCATACAATTTTATACTTCTTTCTTACGTTGTAATGTATTATAAAAAATAATTTCGTCAATTTTTTACAAGCATTTCAACATTCTGTCATTAAAATTATATAAAAAAGTTGATACATAATTGTATTTCGCATTTACGAAGGTACAGAAACATTGATCTAATTATATAATTTTATTTTGAATATTATCAAAAAATTAAACTAATTTTGTAAGCTTGGAAACCATTATACACGGCATACCTGTTATTCTTATTGATGTCAACATTCAAAAATGATGGTCATTTATTTATTATTAAATTTAATCACTTGATCATTTTCAAATTCTTCATGATATATTTCAATAAAATGATATTCTACGTTATTCTTTCTTCTCACATACCTCATAAGAATGAAATTTTAAATACAAAATACTTTCTTATTCAAGTATTATTTTCTTATAAATTACATAAATTTTTCAAAATTACTACCAAATACTAACTATACTTGTTAGATTATTGCATGGGAAAAACTAAATTATAACAATACATGCATAGCTAGTTTTCAATGATAACAAGAGAATCTAAGGTGGGCCATGTTATCTACTTAATAATCAGTAGTACAACCCATAAAGTCCTTATTTTCTTTGTATATTATTATCAGTTACAGGATAACCAATTAGTGAATCATGTTGCATATATAAACTTATATAAAACTATAAAACTATGTTTGTGTAATCATTTATTACAATTTATAAACACAACAACGAAGTAAAAGAAAATACTGATTATAACTACAATAAATAATAACTAATATACAGTAAAATAAATAATATACATATATATGTATATTATTGATTTTTGAAGGTAATTAATTTTGTAAATTTTGATCATATCCTTTGTATTTTTGAATTTTGAGAAACTGAATAATGATGCAAACGTAGAATGAAACATTTTTCTAATATTATGCGTATCAATTGATATCTATGATCCATTAAGGGATCTTGATCGAAAGCGTGTTCCACTTTGCTAAATAAATCATTAATGCATAGTCTTATTAATGTCAGGTATATAAGTTTCATGATTACACTTTAGTAGTAAACGGAATTTTGTACCTATTCTTATAGCAAGTGTTACATGTATTCTAAAGCTTAAATGTTAATACCAGCGGAACAGTATTTCACGTCGACTCAAACAAAACAAATAATATACATGTTTACTAAATACAGTTTGAACTTGTTATCACGTGTCTGACTCGATGTTGTAAGGCAAAGAGTTAAACAATCTTCCATAAGCTATTCTCGTTTGGAGCTTAGATTATAATTATTTTTTATTAGGAAGCAAAAAGAAAAAATATTGAAAAAATATGAAATGAATATGAATTGAATAAATTTATAAAAAATAATATGTTCTATAATATTTACGTTCTATAATTTACTTTCAAGATTTCTGCAAGAGAATCTGTTAATAGGTTCTTCTTCTGTAACTCTTCAATGATATCACTGAACGTTTTAATTTTTTTAAGGAGACGCTCATTTTTACGTTTTAACAATAGTTTTTCTCTTCTTAATCCGTTGCATGCTCTTAGAAATCGATTCCATGTAATTTCGTCTATGAAATCTTCTCTTCTGAAAACTCCAAACTCGTTTAAAACGCAGCGTTTTCCTGCTGGTGCTGTAGATTCATTGCAAGAATTATTTGCCCTAGAAAATAATATTGAGGTAGTATTATGATTGAGAATATAATACTATGAATATTACCTTTCTAAGCTTTTAATAGAGCCAGTGGACATTGCACAGTCTTTTGTTACACTTTCAATATTATCACTTTCATCTGCACTATATTCTATTTCCAAGTAAGATTCTATTGGAACTGTACAGGTTTCACAATTTCTAAATAATGTCAAATTGATGGAAGTTATTATAATTACAAATATAAAATCGATATAGAATAAATTAATAAATAATAATAATAATATAGTTTAATGACATGCAAAAATTCTTCAAAAAATCTAATAAATTTTCATTGGTCTAAGGGTATTTTTTACCACCTTATCTTGCTATACCCTTTAAAAATATTTAATTTTTGTTTATCTTAAATTTCTTACTGTTAGGAAATAAACTCTGAAATCACGAAAAGTTTATTACATTCTCTCTGGTGGATTTCAAGGTAGAATGATTTAAAAAAAGGGTGTTTCTACCCCATCGTGTCCCTTCAAAAATGCTAAAGTTTTAATCTTACTGTTCATCATTTCCCATCAATTGAATATCTGTATCTAACTCAGGAATATTTATGCTTGGAATAGCATCTGCTTTTAAACGTCGTTTATCACACATCTCTCGATAATGTTCAGGTTTAAAATGCTGACTGCATACACGCCCTCTAATATTTACTTGTTTTAACACTTGTAACCACTTTTTTCGTTTATCCGGATCCGACGGAAAACTAAAAACATAAGTAGGTATTGTATGGAAAAATGACAAATATAGACATCACAATGGAAGTTATAATTACATACTGGTGAAAAGTAAGATGTTCGTTCCTGACAGATCGTTCTGCGCCACATACGCAACAGTACCGGGTCATTTTTTCTGAAGCTATAGTTTTTGTAAAAGCACCTATATTTTCACATGAACTGTAACATAGGGTTGGATCGATACCATCAAGGTATCAATACTTTTACTCACAACTATACCCAATTAGCCAGAGTCATCTGCAGATGTCCGGTGTTAGGTGTTAAGATCCCTGACTATAAACGTCCATTTTTGTCTATTATATCCCTAACCTAACGGCCACGACCCGTCACAATTACTTCAACACTTCTGTGAAGTTAGCCGGGCAATTATGCCTTTTTAACGTTTCATTACCCAATCGATTGGTGGTCGATTGGTGGTTATTGGTGGTTATTGGTGGCCTAATTAGAATATTTGGTGGTTACGCGTTCTTTTGTAATTACGTGATCAAAGTTTGACCGTGACGTAGCCGAAAAAATTTTTTTTTTGCCGGATTCAGTTTTTTAAATGCTCAATCAATGCGTAATCGTTTGGTGGTCATGGTGGCCTAATTACAACATTTGGTGGTACTTAATTTCTATAAAAAATGAAAAAAAATGATGTAGTCGTCATCTGGCAGTTCAGGATACAGGTGTACCAACATACATTTAAAGTTGATAAAACAGATATTTCTGGATTGATTATCTTTTAGGATGAATCTGATACAGGTGTACCAACATACATTTAAAGTTGATAAAACAGATATTTCTGGATTGATTATCTTTCGATGAATCATCGATGTAGAAAGGTGTCAGAAGTATGACGCCGATTACAAAAGGACGCTTGACCACCAAATGTTCTAATTGGGCCACCAATTAGGAGAAGGCGTTTCTGCTTCGACTAAGCCCTCGCAGAGCAAAATCGGTTAAGAAATATAAGTTTTATCCAGCAAAATGTGTTTCAATATTCCTGTATTCACTTCTCAGCCAATCACAGGTTTCAATGCTTGCCGTACTGCAGAGATACGCATCTTCATATATTCTGCTTTAATTAATGACCACCAAATGTTTCAATTAGGTCACCAATCATTAGCACACCTTTCTACATCGATTGATTCATCCGAAAAGACAATCAATCCAGAAATATCTGTTTTATCAACTTTAAACGTGCGTTGGTACACCTGTATCTGAAACGGCCAGATGACTACATCGTTTTTTTCATTTTTTATAGAAACTAAGTACCACCAAATTTTGTAATCAGGCCACCAATGACCACCAAACGATTACGCATCGATTGAGCATTTAAAAAACTGAATCCGGCAAAAAAAACAATTTTCGGCTAACTTCACGGTCAAATTTTGATCACGTAATTATAAAAGAACGCGTGACCACCAAATGTTCTAATTAGACCACCAATCGACCACCAATCGATTGGGTATAATGAAACGTTAAAAAGGCATAATTGCCCGGCCAACTTCACACAGGTTTCTTCAACTCCGTGTAAGTGGGGCCAAGTGGTGCCATAGAGTGAGGACGTAATTCCCCACTCCAACACTGTCAGACGAAGACAGGATGGTGACCCAAACCATGCTATCTTTGTCTAATATTTTACGACCTATCGGCTGCTATCGGCCAATTGCGCGGCTAAGTATTATACGTCTATGTTCACGGCAGAGAACTTTGTTTATATTCACCCCGATATCATGAATTGTACGTATGTAGTGTTTGTAAATAAAACGTAACACTATCTGTAATAAGAAACAATAAATGTATGTATATGTTATGTGATAGGTCATTTTGAAAAATCTATAACAAATGGTTGGAATAAGAAAGTATAAGTGTCAAAAAGTATTAATAGAAAATTTTACGTGACAAAGGGCTATTTCAAACTGTTTGAGAATAGAAAACTACAGGCAGCTATTAAATCAGCAAATATGAAAACAGAAGTGTCTTGGAAACGTCGATTTCTCCGGAAAAAGTTAAAGTACACGTTGATTTGTGTGTTCGTGGTCGCTATCATTTTTGTTGTTCATCAATTATTTTACTTCAAGCAACTTAATCAAGCGATCGTAGGGAAATTAATTAGTGGTTCGGTACGAACATCTAATTATATTGTTACTACAAACGTAACTTCGAAGGTGAATAAACAATTGCATTTTAAACTTCTTCGAGATAAGGATGGTCGAAATGTATCTTTGCGTGGTACACGCGATAAAGATCTTTTAAAATACCTGCCGAATTCACGTGGAAAATTTATTTGTTTTGCTTCAAAAATCGAGATAGATTTTTTTAAAATAAACGATGATTACTGTGATTGTCCGATTGACGGTAGTGATGAACCTGGTACCAATGCATGTAACAATGGTGTTTTTTATTGTGAAACTTCAGCCTCTCAAGTAACAGGTATTTCATTACTTACATTTTATTGTATATTTATTCTCTCCAAATAGTACTGATAATATCAATTAAATTTTAGCAAAAATACCATCTTACAAAGTTAATGATGGATTTTGTGACTGTTGCAACGGATCTGACGAGTGGCCAGAATTTAAATTATCACATTTAAATAATGGTAAATGTTACTACTTTAAAATGAATATGTATTTTTTTAGCACTAATTTTCTGTTGATCGCAAATAATTTATTTTTCAGACTCTGGGAACATACGTTATAAGTCTAAGTGTCAAAACAGATGCTAGTACATCATTGACACATAAGTATGTGAAATATGTATTTATTTTATGTGGATATTCCAGTTTTCTATTGATTATGATAATAATACATTGATGTATATATAATTTTACACTGTATGAACATAGTTCCAAATAATTCCTTTTCAGTTTCTTTTATTTAAAAATGTAATGAAATAAATATTAATTAAGTTATAGATATTTTGTTTGAAGACTGTAAACAAATATTAAGAAATTAACATATCCATACATTTTTTGTTTATTTGTGTAGAATATTAAACTTTTTTTATAAGATTATTTTTGTTATATAAAGTGAATTTAATATTAACAAAAATTTGAAAGTAGAAACAACACATTGACTGCCAGCTATGAGATACCTCGTAGTTGAAACATTGCAAACATGCTGGATTATTTAAATATCTCTATAAAATTTTGACATAAGATTAATATCACAGTATAATTTAAAACAAGACAAACAATCTCTATTAATCAAACGTATATATTTTCAAAGATTTATGACTTAAAAAACGAAATAAAATATGTCTGGCTATGTACGGCCTTTTTCACTGTGGCAGTGAACGTGTTAAACATGATGCAATATTACCTTCTTTGGTATAGGATAATACAGAATAAGAATTATTAACAATTATGATAGGATTATCCACCAATGGTTCATACTACTGTGGATGTGTTAATATTGGTAAGTTGCTAATACAGTTCTTTTTTTTTTTAATTTTTATGCTCCTTTTGCTACAAATGACCACACTTTAATGGTCATCTGCTCAGTTATAATAGCTACCCATTAGTCGATGATATAGATTTCCTTTTTCTGTACAGATGGTTACTATAGTCAGATTTCTCTTCCAATTAATTTTTTTTTGCCAATTTAAGTAACTATTACAGAGATAGAAAATATGGTAGTACATATGACAAAACAAATTTTGATCTTCTTAATGCAGGTTCTGCTCTCTCCATAATACACATTCACAGTTTGTGTTCTTCTATAGCAATAACAGAGCAGCAGCAAAAGAGTTAATTATTATATGTACATCAGATTGGGTATTAAGCAAATCAAATAATACAATATTATTGATTATAAGACCCAATAGCATTAAGAACCTTAAAATGTAACTCTAAGCTTCTTTTTTGATCTGCAAAGTGTAAAATTCGTTGTACAGGAACTCCCAAACTTAGTAAAATATTACAAAAGTGATTTTCTTCTTCTCCAATCCATGGACGGTAGGAGTCATAAACTTGATATGGTGTAACTTGTATGTGAACTTCTATTTCTGTAACAGTATAAGGACTCTTAAACATACATTAGTTAACTTTAAAAAGTTTTGTTTGAAAGTTGCAAAATATATTACTTAATTTTGCAAAAGATTCTAATACATGTTTGTTTGTGATCCATGTATCTTTTGAACCTCCGTGACCACCATCCAACCACCACATGCTCTCAATAAGTTTTATAAAGTTAGTGACTTCAATATCAGAATCTGGTTTATTGTTGTAGTAATAAAATTCTTGAAGGAATTGGTTTAATACAACACAACCTTTGCTGAAGCCCATTAATGATAGTTTTATGTTGCTGCTACTAAAATCAATAGAACCCTAGCAATTCAAACACACTTGAATCAAGTAAGTATCATTGTTCAAAATTTGATAGAAATATGATTTAAAGTATACCTTATCTTCATTACATGTTTTAATGTTTTCCAAACAGGATTTTACTAATGCTTGTAAATGTTTTAAACCATTATAAGTTGGACAAAATGATGGCACGCCATAGTCATTTGATGGTACAAAATTATCAAAACAACTAAAGCTGGCATTCTTTGTCACATGTATTCTGAACCAAGAGTGAATATTAATATTGCACACAATATTGTATATTAAAGATTGATTATAGGGTTTACCTTGATGGTCGAATGATAAGTAGATGTTTATTTGGAAAATTTGTTGAAAGTATATGAGCAGTATTTTCTAGACTCCATTCTGTGTATTTTTTACTATCTGCATGTTGTTCCATGTTTTTATGGAGGTCCTTTCATGAAATTAACAATACTGTACATTATAATTGTATTATACAGGGTGTACATGTTTTTAGTTCCCAGCATTCCTTTCTTAAGTGGTAAATATGTGAAAAAAGTAGAAGGGGACAAAGTTCCCTTTGTGCTTTTCTATTTTTCTCACAAGTTTACCACTTACGAGAAAAAAAGTAGAAAATAAAAGCGTGAACAATCTGTATATTTCACAGCTACTGTTATAGTTTATAATGCAGAGTAAAAGTAAAGCTTTATTTTAATAACAGAAAAGAACAATTACTATCACATCTAAATGTACCTGTACATCACCTCCAAAATATATGAAAATGTCTTGATTCAGTGGTGATATTGATATTGGAGATGAATAAATTATATCATTAAAGCGACCTGTGATACCAGGCAGTTTCTTCCAAATCCAATTTTTTGGAGGCATTTCAAAAAATTATATTTATAAGTCTAAAAGTAGAAATTATGTAAATACAAATGAGTATGATTATATATATGTTTCATAATTCAAATATTCTGCATTAATATCAATTATTATGAAATTAACCCTGATAACCAGTTGTGTGCAAGTTTCGGGCAAGTTGCCAGCAATAAACTACAAGTGCTGTCTACAAAACCGTAGCCACCTGTTTCCGCATTTGACTACGGTTTTGTAGTCAACACTTGATGTCGAGTTGTGGTTACAAGTTGCACGCAACTCTTGTAACATAGTTGACATTGACGTAGATCATGGACATAGGAATAAAGTGTTGGAGCGTGAGCAGAAGTACGGCAAAGCAGCTTCCGGGGAGCAGGGAACACGGTCACGTGATACTCTGAGCCAATTGGCGATTAGTTATGATCGCGCAAGCGCATGGCTTTAATCTTGTTTTGATCGAGTAAAAGTGTGCGTATAAAACCCCACAATTAGAAAAATTGGAAACCTGAATGATGAATACTGTCATCATAAAGACCTCCTAAAAACAGTACAAACATTGAATGAACATCTTATTTATGTATAGGAAAAGGACAGTGAAGCAATGGAAAAATTATAATATTTTCTAAACTTTGTAATTTTATACATTTATATGCTATTTCCGCGACATTAAATATTTGCAAAGAACGTAAATCGCGATCTTGTGAAAGGAAAATTCCTAATTTCGAAGATTTACATGGACTTGTATAAAAATCTTTTAAAGCTAAAAATTTACTGCCACTTATTTTATATTCGTTTTCTGATAGAATAATGGTTTTTAAAATAATAATGCTACCATCAATAAGACAGCAGCAATTGTTAGGTTCCTGAATGTGTAAAGTAAAGTCATTGAAAGCTAGTTTTAAATTGTTTTGTAATATTAATATTTTCTACTAACGGATCGTTAAAATGTTCCTTTTTAACTAATTAGTTTGATATTCCATATATAATTACACTTAAAATATATATTTTTTAACCCAATCGTTTCAGATAAAAGTACCATGATATTTCATTGGAAAATAAAAAATACATCAAGTAATATTTAAAAAAAAAAATACAGAATTTCGTTTAAAAATATGAAGTTGACCTGGAAATCACGGAAACGCTTCCACTTCTGAAACAGATTGGTGCACCATGTTGTACACCACTCTAAACAATTTAATTTTACCCTACGAAATTAGATTCTATCTTCTACCCGCTACCGTTTCAAGTTTATATCTGGATCCCGTTATGTAGGACACCTTGTATATTGTGTGTGCATGTGCATGTAATATCCATGTGTAGTTTCAATTATTATAATAAATTATAAAATGAATAAAAAGTGAAAACTGTATCTTTTTTATTTGGACATTTTAAGAATGTGTATCTATTAATGTTAAACTATGATGCTTGTCTACAAATTCCGCAAATAATTTATTCTTTTAAATTAATATAAAATGTGTATTTTTTATATCAAATGTGAAATAAAAATAAAAATGTGAAACTACATAAATCTTCGTAATCTAGACAGGGTGTAATACTAATGGTGCAAATGTATACGAGATTATTCCTCGTATAAAAATAAATCGAAAACATAAAATAGGTTTTGTTATTCAAGACTTTGTTTTCGAGAAAATGGAATTTGAAAAGTCACAAATCCGTGTTGGCGACGCGTCTGTTCATTTCTTACAGTTTCTACTTATTGTATGCACTAGCGATAGTTGAATGTACATGTACATATTCTAGATAAATTTTTGATGACGATTTTTTCAACGTCCAAATTTTCAATGAGAAAAATTATTCTAAAATTTCAACTTATATTTGTAAGAAGAATCAGCTCTTATTATGTACTCGTACCATCATAATGCCGCATTTTTATACGGCACATTACATGCTAATATCTATCCGTACATACGTGACAATTAAATGACTTCGTAGAGAATTCAAATTTAAATTGCTGATATGACAATGATACCAATTGCGAAAGTAGAAGAAAGAAATATTGCAAAGAGCGTAAACATGGCCTCGCGGTATAGTCACGGTGTTCAGCGAGTTTTAGCAAAATTAGAAGCGTCCATAAATTCGGGAAATTATTATGAGGCTCATCAAATGTATAGAACTTTATATTTTAGGTGAGCCTACTACATAATTAGTCAACATCGTCACAGAATTATTTTAGTGCAATCGCCGATATGATTGCTTAACCTCTTCTTCCAGATATCTTGGACAGAAAAAGTATTCGGAACTTTTGGACTTACTATATAATGGTTCTACAATTTTATTACAGCATGAACAAGTACGTAATACATTTCGTTATTCTTATTTTCATTAGTTTTAAAAGTATCTTTCTACAAGAAACATTCTTTACTTAATGTTATTTTATTTTTATTCAAGTGTTATTTACAAATTTTTTTCTCGAAAAATCCATATTTAAATTTTCTTCTCTGTATCCTTAGATGTGGTACATTTTGTGTTCGCTAACTATTTTTTTTGTTTGCTAACTAAATATGTCTAGAATATTCTGAAGTTTATTAAACGACAACAATCCACTTCACGTTTGTGTATATATATATTTCTTTTTTACTTATATAGTGTTCTACTGTATAATAAATTTTCTTTGACACTTACATTCTATGGTAATGCATCGTGTAAAATAAAGTATCTAATACATTAGATATTTCTTAACTATTACAGTATGCCAGTGGAGCAGATTTAGGAATTTTATTTGTAAATGTATTAACACAATCAGGGACAGAACCTTCTCAAAATTATTTTGAAAAAATTAGAAGCTTGTTTAGTTTAATGAACCCTTCCTCACCTGAAAGAGATACATTTGTGCAATCTGCCCTTCGATGGAGTATAAAGAATACAGAATATAAGACAGGTCATCCTGATTTACATCAAAAGGTAGCACAAGTGTTTTGGAGAGGTAATTAATGAGGAAAAGGAATGTTGATAATATTTTATTATTAGAAATTAATTAAGATTTTGTTTTAGAAAAAAACTATATAATGGCAAGACAACATTTCATACATAGCAGAGATGGTTCTGGATGTGCTGCAATGCTTGTAGAACTTCATGAACAACGTGGCTATACAAATGAAATAGATCTTTTTATTGCTCAGGCAGTTTTACAGTAAGCATATATTTCGTTATTTTTTTACTTAAGTAAGAAGTTTAATTGCCTAAAAATTGGTTCAACATATGTCTACAATCATTGTTTCAGATATCTATGCTTAAAAAATAAAGCAACTGCACAGGAAGTTTTTAATTCTTATATTTCACGACATCCAAAAATAAACAGTGATCCACCGTATCTTCTTCCTTTACTGAATTTTTTATTCTTTTTATTAAAAACAATCGATGGGTGAGTGTAAAATATTACTTATTCATTTCATAAGTGGAAATTATTCATTTGTATCCTCTGTGCATTTATAATTAATATTTTTCAGTGGTAAACTCGCTGTGTTCACAGTACTCTGTGAACAGTATCAAATATCTCTAAACAGAGACCCATGTTATCGACAGTACTTAGATAAAATAGGACAATTGTTTTTCGATATCCCATCTCCGCGTCCACGCATTCAAGGAGTATTCGGTTCTCTTTTACAATCTTTTTTTAATGATCTTGAGGATGAAGATTCAGATGATGAACACAGAAATACAGCTTCAACTTCACACACAGCACAAGAACTTGACTGATTAAGAGTTAGACGTCACTGTGCAATGTGATGAAAGTAAATAATGAACTTATATATGTATATATATGCATACATGTATATACGTGTATATACATATATACATATCATACATTTATATTAATGTCTCACATATTTTCGAAAAATGCATTCTTTTATTCTTGTAAAATTTACAAAAGAATATTGCATTTGAAAGAATTTTTTAAATAACTTGTATAGGTAAAAATTATTTAAACTAAAAGTATGTGAGATGCATTACAAGAGGAATTTTTCAAAGTTATAAGTTGCAAATTCTAGACAGTTTAACAAACTAAATATTCATGGAGAGAATTTAAAAAAATAATATTTTTTCAACATCTCTTTCCATCTCCGAAGTCTATTTTGATATTGTATCTGAAAAACTTATTTAATATCATTATCTAATAGTTCAAACCTTTTAATTGAATTAGCGGGTCAACTTAAACTTTGAAAAAAATCCTTAGAATAGTTGCAATTCGTATATTACACATATATTTAAAAACAAACGTGTATTTCAATGTAATTGCTGAAACGGAGATTTATTTTATATATACTTAATCGTGTGAAAAATAAAATTTACATATATACTTAAAGTTTCAAGAAGGGAATGCTTAATGATATGTACTTGTTGCTAAATCACTAAATAAGTAAAGTGAATTGTACACAAATAAATATCATAGCAACAAGTAAAAAATTTATTTATTATACACAATATTAATATAAACTCGAAGATTTAAAGTTTCAGTAAGACGTAGATTATATATTTAGTTACAAAAATGAAATGGATGGTCATGGTCCTATATAAAGCACTTTTTAGTACTAAGAAGTATAATATACTATTACTGTGTATTGGATGGAAAGACTACAAAAAAAGGATATTACAAAAATGTAAACTTGCAATAAGTGTATACATATACTAATGTATATTCTGTATGCATGTATATGTATTCTTATAAAAGTATGTAAATTTACGCAGAAAACATTGTACAAATAGGCAATGTTCAGATTGTTATCAAAATATGTACAACTTAATTTTCATTACCAAAAATGGATATGTGGTTTCCCTTCAGAAGGAAATGAATTAAATTTAAAATTCAAGTTCTTTGTATTTTGTATTAGGAGGACGAATGAGCAACTCAGTTCAACATATATTATTTCCATATTAAGAATTTATTAAGTTGATATTGCCTGATAGATAGTATTTACAGTTGCATTGTTGTCTCAAAAGACTTTAAAGTATTTAAATACTTTCTACAGTCAGACCCCTGTATAGATGCACTATGACCTCTAAATAGGTTTGTGAATTATCCCCTTGCTTGTTGAGAACGTTCCAAGCAACTGACACCTTATCACTACTTCAGTTTCTGTTTTTATCACATATGACAGCGTGGGTCGTGACCGGTCGACCTGAGGACTAGAAGTCTTTCAAATAGACCCCTGTATAGGTTTACGGACAGTCCAGAGGTGCGAACCTTTACAGGGGTCCCACTGTATATAAAATGTAATATTCTATTCGATAATTAAAGAAAATCAATGTGTTATTCAAAGGTATATGTTACATATAATTACTCGAAAAATTTTGTTTCAAAATTTACTTCCATACGGTAATTATACAATAATAGCGTTGAAAAAAAATTTGTGTCTTCAAAGGCATGTAGTACTCCAAGAAAAGTAAAAAGTTTTTTGCGTAAAATGTGATTTTTCGTTTCCAAAATGTATACGAAAATCATCAAATATAAAATTTATATCAAACAATACAAAATAAGTAAGGTGTGTTTAAAAATGTACATCAGCAAATAATTGAAGATGTGAAATAAAAATAAAAATAAACAAAACAGTGATGTATATTTCGTATAAATAATTACATTTGTTTTACCTCGACAAAGTACTCCCTAAACGAAAAATCACATTTTATGCAGTGAAGTTATAATTTGTCGACCTACGTTGATAAATATTTTTTACTCCTACCAGCGAATTCTATACACTCCTAAAATTTTGGATGAAACGTTTTTACTAAAAAGATTGAAAATAAACAGTATAAAGATTCAGAATTCAACTTGACGTTAAACCCAAGTGAACAGATACTTATTTTAAATATTTGGTATTTAGTGTTTTCTTAATTAAAATCTAATTGTTTAATATCAAGATGCATGATATCATTCTTTATAAATTCAATATAAACTTCTGTGCAATGCTGAAGTTATAATATTAGTATCAATTAATTCTTGCATCCCCTAATCTTTATTACAGTCATAATGAAACGTTAACTGCAAAATAGAAGTATAAAGTTATATATAAACATGTACGAAAATGAAATATTTAATAATACAATATATTGATTATATTGTACGAATAAAACAAGTCGATTTAAGTAATTTTTCATTTAAGAAAGGTATGCGATGTATTCTGATAGACACATTTATGTTGACGATTAATGCAAAAACATTTCTGTTGAAAAAAATACGAGTAATGAAATTATAAATAATTACAGATTCTTCTTACATGTGTAGCAACATAGGAATGAAATAGTAAAGTTAAAAAATTTAAGTTTGTATAAACAAAGATGTATTAAAAAACTGTTTACATTTTTGTTAATAGTAATTTGTACAAATAAACTACATATACGGTAAAAACTTGACAAGTTTATATAAAATACACTTACATACAATTACAACCATTAGTGTAGGTACATGTTATTAAAAAAATGAAAACGAAAAGAATATGAAATCTAACATGACATGTAAACAATACAATATTGTAATCCACATAATCTAATACTTTTAAATTGTAATTATATATTTGGCTGTATTCAGTTTCTTGATGTACTCATAAGAAATGTTTTTATGTAATTTATATCTGTAAAATATTATGTATGTATATAAATACATATTTCACATCAGATTTAAAACTCTATCTATAATCCTTATGAAGTACTTGATAATTGAATCAACATGACACCACTGGTAGTTCAGTTTACAAAACTGTTTGAAAATAAATGCATTAGAAAAATATATATACATATATATGTATAAGCATGTGATATTGTATCATCAATATGTATCGTGACCAGGCATGGAAAATTTACAGGAAAAAGTTTCCACTTCTTCCTTTAAAGCTACAACTTTCTTTTTTATACATTCATCGGTACTCAATACTTTCTTAAATTCAACAAATTTTGGTCCAGAAATTTTAGTTATTTCCTTAGCCAGTAACAACCCTAAAACACATTACAAAATTATTGTTGTATATTCTACTTGTTACTTTTGTTATACTATCATTTTTACATTAATATTAATATACCTTGATGTATGAAATCAACAACTTTATCAAAATCTTCTTCAACCAAACCACGGGTAGTTAACGCCGGTGTGCCAAGTCTAATACCGCTAGAATTGAAGGCACTTTTATCGCCAGGTAGAGTGTTTTTGTTACAGGCAATAGATATATCCTCCAAAATCTTTTCTGCTTTGTTTCCTGTAAGACCTACAGGCCGTAAATTCACTAATAACATGTGTACATCAGTACCATCTGTGCTAATCTTGTAGCCATGTTTTTGAAGTCCTGCACATAGTCTCTTCGCATTGGCTACTATTTGTTTTTGATACTGAAGAAACTCTGGAGATTTAACTTGTTTCATTGTTGTAGCAATTCCTGCAATCGCATTGTTATGTGGCCCACCCTGTAGACCAGGAAATACTGCTTGATTGATTTTATTTTCTATATCATACATAACTTCTTGTCCATTTTTCCCAATATTTTTAACTCCTTTACGGAAGAAAATAACACCAGCTCGAGGACCTCTGAAAATTAAGAAATGTTATACCAATAACATCTCTCCACCATTTTCACATTGAAATTACCTCAGTGTCTTATGCGTAGTGGTTGATACAACATCACTGTACTCAAATGGACTGGGAATTACTCCAGTTGCAACCAATCCTGATATATGGGCCATATCGCTAAAGAGATAAGCATTATTTTCATCTGCTATTTCTCTAAACCGTTTGTAATCTAAACATCTGCTGTAGCAAGATACACCTGCTATTATAATTTTTGGCTTGAATAGTCTTGCATTTTCAGCTAATTTATCATAATCGATTAGACCTGTTTGAGGATCCACCTTATATGGCATTGATTCAAAAAATATTGATGTTGCAGAAACTTTCTTAGCTTCATTAAAAAAACCTGAAAAATCCAGATGGTGATTTGTAAGGATTATATCAATCTCTGATGGTTTATAAAAATTTTAACAAATTCATGTGAAATATTAATGTTACCATGAGTAAGGTGACCTCCATCAGGAAGATCTAATCCCATTATACGCCCATGAGGTTCAATTAAACCTGTATACACAGCAAAATTAGCTGGACTTCCTGAGTACGGTTGTACATTACAACCCCATTCCTTTGGATTTAAATTAAATGCATCTAAAGCACGTTGTTGTGCTAATAATTCAATTTCATCAATATATTCATTTCCTCCATAATACCTAAATACAGATAAAGTCTTAGCAAATGTATTAACCACTAATACCAAAATAATAACAATGTACTATAACAATATACCTTTGACCAGGGAGACCTTCACTGTATTTATTATGAAGACAAGAACTTAAGCATTGAAGTACACTAAGGGATGTAAAGTTTTCACTAGCAATTAATTCAAGGCCAACTTTTTGTCTCCTTTTTTCTTTTTTCATCAGTTCAAAAAGTTCAGGATCTGTCTCCCAAATGTTTTTATGGATTACACTAGTCATATTCTATATAAAAGATAATATTTTTTAAATACATATATGTATGTAAACATTCACTTCATAAAAAAACGTAATAAACAAATGTAGTCAAACATTAGATTATTTATTTAGACAATATATTACTAGTTTCTTGGAGGGGATTACATACAGACCTCTATTTATTATTTTCGTAAAGTTCAAAGGGTTTTAACTGATAACCCCTTACATACTGGAATGCCACAATTAAATTCCATTTATGAGAGAGCATACACAATACATGCAAAACATGTGCGTAGGAGCGTTATATCAAATCTGATCTTGTTATTTATTTATATAACATTTTTATCTAATAACTATTGAAATTTAATTTAAAAGCATGATGTAAATTTTAAGAAAATTGCTATAGTATAATACCATTTATTTAATGTATTTGTTATATTTAAAATAATATTTCCTTCTTATCATGTTTAAAATAATAGTTTTTCTAAAAATACATATAATATTAAGTCCACTCACGAGTTTCGGTGAGCAACAGGTGGTCGAAAAATAAACGCTACGATTCGAAATTCGAAAGACATCTGATGGGTGTCCTTGAACAACATGATCTTTTATACGCCGCATTCCAGCGATTAACAGATCTTCAACCAATTGACAACCGCGCTGATTTAAATTCAACCAATTCCGGAGCATTGCTGTGTGTTTCCTAATATGTGTATATACAGACATTAAGTACGTCATATGATTTTATATCATCATATTTTCTAAAAATTTAGTCCAGATCACATGTTTAAGGTTCAATCGTACCATTTAACCTAGAAACTTTCCCAGGGAAAATATTTTAACTGACGGCACTGTAAAATATGGTACCCAATGCGCATGACTTTTATATTTAATTGCTGTTTTACAATATTCAAGCACAATTCAAGAGTTTCTAGCATTTAAAAGTATTAAATAATTCTTTATAAATGTAACCAGAAGCGTTGTTACTATACTAAGTAGAAACAGCAGTATTGAATTTAATTTAAAGTAAATATAAGTTTTGAACGAGTTTTTTTACTTGCACTATTGCACTAATAATATATAAGAAAAACAAAACTGTCAAAATTTTAAGAAATTGAACACTGAGCCTGAGCCAATATACTTATAACAACATAAACATTTATTATTAACTACTGCTATTAATAATAACTCTTATTGGTATCGTATATTTTTAAACAAATCAGTTGATAGTCTGCTTTCTATTGCAAACGTAAACCGATACTGTTATTGTATTAAGTTTGAATATTTCCATTACGTTTTACAATAAATGTTTACGAGTATCGTATTTTGTGAGTAATGTAACTTACTATTTAATATAATTGTTTGCACAAATAACAAACAGCACGAATAGATTTTACGCTTTTACTGTAATAGCACTGCATCAAAAGTAGTTCACGATCGATGTACTTTCTTCAGTTACGTACAATTCTGTATGCTCGTATCTCATTTCACACCGACCAAACCAGTATAGGTTTATCAAGACTTTTTGAACTTTTTTCTTATCGTATTACAAAAACGAAATTTCAAATACTCCTAACACACAGTATTTTTCCATTTATGATCCATTAATGAAAAATTATTACGAAATATTTCGAAGAATGAATATCGTAATAAATATTGAACTATCGTAATATAAAATATTTTTGTGAATGATTAAATATCATTTGCAAACATTGTTTAAACAGAATTACGTTACATTCGTTATTTAATACGGTTTACCTTGTAAAATTTGATCTTACACATTGTATTTATAGTGAAGTAAAAACTATACTTTTTGCAAAGAAAGTATTACTTAAACAAAATTTGAAATACTTATATGTACTTAGAATGTCTTCAATGCTATACTATTATTTTTAATAATATTGCGCTTTCCATTTTAATTGATCAGAAAACATATTAAAATGTTTATATACATATATTAAACACTGATACTGATGTATGTTAAGCAAAAATGTATTTCTACTTGATATAATAAGAGTGTTGAGCAATCAAAATAATAAAAGAAACAATACATATAGTGGTTAAACTAGAGAATGTATTGCTTTATTTTGCATACAATTCCTATGGAATATTATTCGATTGTTTTCTCCCTATTGTTTTCGAATCAGATTTATTATGTTAAATATAGTTACTTATATAACTATTAGTGTGAACTTACCAAAGAGATAAGTTAACTAATGAATGAGTAATGTATATAAACAAGAAAACCAATATAATGGCTTGTTTGTAAATAAGCTATTAAAATAACCAAACTTGTGAAAAGTAGTATACAAGTACTTATGAAAAATTGGTACCTAATTTTATATCAAGATAATTTTAAGCAACTTAAAGTATCAGAATGTCTTTATATTTATTAAATGCATGACTTTTATACTTAAAAATGATATTAATACTGTAATACATTATTTGTTACGTTCAATACGTTTTTAAGATTTAGTACTAGTTATGGTAATCATGAATGGTTTATACAGTTTTTGATACAGATATACTGTTTAGTAATACGTATAATACTTACTATATAAATGATAACACTGCAAAGTACGGTCAAAACAAAATATGACGAAACAGCTTGTCAACATATTATGTGCATATATTGTTTACATCGGAGTAATAAAATTTTTGAAAAAAATAAGGCATTTAATATAGTACAATCACTGTTAATAGTTTGATAGTAAATGTTCTACGCAAGATATATTATTTTTTAAATAATTTCAAAATATTAATTATGTAAATTGTTAAGTCATAAATTATATTTCTAGCTCTAAATAGAGATTACATATTAATTTTCGTGAAAACATTTAACTCTTTACAAATACATACTATCATGTTTATTATAATTGCTTACACCACCTCACAGCATTTTATCATTATTGCGGAAATTGTAAATATTTTGTACGTAAAATTATAATCTTAAGAACGTTTTTTTTTTAACTGAATTTACTCTTCTATCTTCAATAAGTCACTAAGAAACTGAAAGTCGGTTCATCTGCAACTATGAAATCGCTATAAAAACAAAAACATTACGAAATGTATTTAATGAGGTCTGAGTCAATAAAGAAATTAGAGAGAAGTAAATATAGATAAGCTAAGTAAAGGTTTGTGATCAGTTTGACAAAAGGTTTTTAATTAATTTATTTAAAAAATTATCTATTAACATGGCCGGAAGTTTTTTTCAAAAGATTACTACTTCCATGAATACTTCTCAAAAGGGTCACTTCAAACAGTAAGTAGTTGTAATAGCGTGGAAGTCTGTATTTATATAGTTATATTGTTGTTTATCTAAATAAAAGTGATTTACATAATAGATAAAATGCATTAAATAATGTATACCTGATACTTGATAAATAATCTAAATAAAAGAAAATTAATATTCCTATATAATTAATGTGACTGATTAAATGCATAGAAAATATCCTTTCCATATTGTAATAAATATTTTGAAGTTTTTCATTGTCTTTATCTATTATATGCTTCATGAGCAACAAAAGGCAAATTTTTTACTGCAGGCACTATACTTGACATTGTTTAAATTATATATTTAATATTGATATGAGTTATTGTTTTAATTAGTTTACAGCAATTTAATATCCTAACATATTAATAGCTAAGTCAACTGAATTAAGTTTCTTGACTTCACATAGATTAAGTTTTGTTTTCAACTTTAATGATCATGAATTTGCACAAAATAAATAACAAATATTTTCGGTGGTGATAGGAAAATATTAAATGTTGTGTGCAACAACATATTTACAATATTCGTATTATTTAAAGTGGATTTTCATGCAATATTTATATACAAAATGTTTACTTAGAACTGAGGTTGTATGTGACATATAATCTTATTCAAAAGTTGCTAATATAAATGTAGGCAGTTTCTATAATGCTGTAGTATGATTAATTAATGAAGTTTAAAAAAATATGAATATCATAATATTCTGTCTGATTCAATAACAAAGTAATATTACAATGTTTATGTTAATAAAAATTACGACATGGAAAACCGAATTGCTCATGTCAGTAAATATTTTTTACAATCAAGCATTTTTTTTATGGACACCTGCATTGTATTTTGTTTTTCTTTCGCGTAGGAAGTAACTATTGAAAACTTATAGATAAAATTTATATTCGCAATTGAGCAGCTGTAAAAAAATCGTGTTACAAATAATTACAGACATTATTATATTAGAAGTGTCGTTTCTCTGTAAGTAATTCATGAAGTATGTTGATATTTTCATGTTTTATTGTAGAACAATAACTTAAACAATGTTCTTTCTATAAATTGTTTATAATTACGTGCAAAACATACACAATTACTATTAATATCAATATAAGTATTCGTACTAGCTTCAATTATAAAATCATTGCCATTACTGATATTCGTAAGGAACGTAGCAACGACAATGAATTATATAATGTATATAACATATATGTGTATATTAACAACAAAATACAGTTTGCGTTTTAGAATGTCAAAATCAACATGGATGGGTATTTTCATTTCTTTCAATTAAAAGCTGTCACGTTCACGAGTAAATTAACAAAAAAACAAACTTCTGTCCATTGTAATGTTGCTTAGATTCTACACCTTACTAAGAATGCAGTCGTACATTCACAATGTTTTCGAAATCGTTAAAAATTGTCAATATTTTGTGTTTAAATAACACCACTACTTTGAATGTCTTGAAACCTTTAAGTTTCCACTTTATTCATTTTCCTTCACACGATTCTGACACGGAAGAATTGCTTTTTTAGTTTAGAATTACATTTTAGACAAAAGTAATCCCAATAATATCGAACAAGGTGTTAATATTAATTTTGAAGACAGAAGTAAGTAGTATTAAGTTGAGTGTTTACAACGGGATAACGTTTGAAACACATGTCATTAAAAACATGGTACTGAATAGTCAAGCTACCTGTCCAAGCACGTTTGAATTTTTATAAAATATTGCAATACCTTCCAACTGCAATGTCCAACTTCTGTCATCGTCACTGTATGTCGCATTGATTTCTTATTGTACTGTTGTATTACAGTTGTACCTGCCAATTTCGAAGTGTGATCAAGAAGCATAACACAGTGAAGTATGATCATTCTTTTTTACTGCAGGCACTATACTTGACATTGTTTAAATTATATATTTAATATTGATATGAGTTATTGTTTTAATTAGTTTACAGCAATTTAATATCCTAACATATTAATAGCTAAGTCAACTGAATTAAGTTTCTTGACTTCACATAGATTAAGTTTTGTTTTCAACTTTAACACTTTAATTTCTTTTAATAATTGTAACAACCTAGTATCTCAGAATAAAAAAACAGACTTTATTTGTTAAATAAATTGATTAAATTGCTCTGTCTTCATCCAATATTTAATAACTCTCTTAGGTATTTCGAAGCTACGAAGTTTAAGCGCGTCTTGTCAAAAGACTTAAATCACAGTTAAGGCAGGAAAAACACTGATCAAGATATGATTCATAAATAATAGTAGTTCTCGTATAATATTGTGGAAAGTATTCACACGAAAAAAAAATAGTGAATCAAAAACAAAAAAACTAAAATATTACATCACTACAAAAAAAAGTGTTGAACAAAAATGATCATGAAATGAGTTTTCTTTTTAAATAATCGTTTAACTCTTCGTATGTTTAATATAATTACTTGTATTCAATATGTGATGACTTGAACATTTGTTATGGTCGACGACACGTGTTCTGTTGGTTTCTTAAATTAAAATTCTGCCTCATTAATGCGTTAGTCTACTGTTATATATTTGCAAAGATTACTAGAATCTCGGTGAAGTATATTAGGAAAAGACGCATAGAACACACACAGAAAAAGAATATATTCAAACGCAAAACACATCAGGGTGTTTGGAAGGCAACTTAGAAATTTTACTTAGAAATGCCTAGTTGGTATTTTCATCGACATCTTTGATATAACAATACTAAAGAATAATTCGATGGCGTTTCGTTTGAATCAATTTTTGACAATTATATTTCAATGTATGAACACGTGACATTGTAAACGAAACGTTCATATTTATTTTTTTATAAAAATGCCTTAGAGTGCAAAATATAAGCTTTTAGGATAAGTGTCAACCTGCGTTTCAAACATCCTGAATATAGTATAAAACAGGAGTGTGTAGACAATTTTTTTTCAGGTAATGAGCTTTAAGTATTACACACGTAGTACAGTACACAATGTCTCTTTGGGTCTTATTAGATCAATACAAAGATTTTACGTGGCAGGATCAAATAATGAGAATTTCAAAAAAAAATTGAGCATCTCTATAAAATTAATATTATGCTACATTCATAAATACCTCCGTGTTTCCTGACATGAGCATTCTTCATTCTGCGGTTGGAATCCATATTCTCTTTCATAACGAAATACGTGTTTTAAATAAATTCCTGTTCTTGACTTAATCGAATGCATTAAAAACACTGCCATCAAAAATACTTTTAAACGAGTGCCATCAGGCGACAAATATATTTACAAATACAAAAATTGATTTCACGGATAGAAGCGTCTAATCCATTGTTGGTGCATAGTGGAATCGATGTTGTACCATCGATCCAGCCACTACGTAAAATCCCTGTCGATTCGAAAGGGAGAACTTCCATGATTCATAAAGTATCATTGCATGGTCATAACACTCTCTTAATCCATCGTATACAAAGCGTAGATTTACCTTTCGTTAACATGATCATAATATTAAAACCGCGCTTTATCTGGCTGAAGAACCGAATACACAAACGCATTTCCAACCATTCTGTGTCAGACGTCGCTTTCTTATTATAGAATCGTATAAATTATATGAGTGGCTGCCTAATTTTATTCCTCTTCGCATGATGAAAATTTAATTGTAAATTTTAATAGCCTTTTCGAGGTAGTTGATACGAGAACGCTTTGGCGCTTTGTTGACGTGTTCCAAACCAAGCCAAGGCCTGTGTGGCGATGTGCCTGCGTTTAAAAGTGGATAAACTACAAAATTTATTCCTCATCAGCATCACTTTAATGTTTATACGACAACATTATTGGTAATTCTATGTGATTCTATTTAGCTCATCTATCTGCTATAAAAAATTGCTTTTCTTTTAATACACTTACTCTGACTTGGATGGGTGCGGAAGTCTGCGAGATTCACAATGCATTCGGGCGAATCCATAATAAAGTGTGGTTTTCCCATTGTCACCACCGCGAACTTAAACTTCAAAGTTTTTTTATGAATTCTCATAAGATATCAAAGAAGATTAGATCAAGATGCCTACCTTTTCAAATTCTTTTTCTTGTACTCCCAATTTCTTCAGTAATCTCTCTTTCATTTTTGGAAAAGGTTCACCCTGTAGATATGTAAACGACAAACACATTATTAACCGATATAGTAGTAAAGAAAATGTTTATTCAAGAAAAAGAGAGAAGAAAGCAATAAATTCATTACATGGGTATATCTGCATTGAATTGTGCTCACCTGTTTAATTTTAAAGAAAAAGGGAATACCAAACGTCGAGAAAACGTCCTTGTGAAAGTGTGCAACAGGAATTAACATTTCATCTTCTGCTAGATTTAACTCATCATTTGGAATTTCTTCTATCCTGTATAACTTTGTGCCGGATGTATTTAAGTTGTCTAAGGGCACATCTTCTCTTGGACCAGGCGAAAGTTTATTACAATTGATTTCTAATATCCTTAACTTTCCAGATCCATTTTCTGACAATTCCACTTGCTTTTTAGCTTCTTCAAGTAAAGTAGCCACAGTTCCATTTTTATTGGGATAAAGAATAATTTCCTTCTCTTCCTTAAGTGACGGACCAACCCATATACATTTAAACTGTTTCTTATTTTCGAGCTCATTTACTCTAATACTGAGCTGTTGATAATACAATTTCTTTGTTTTTGGTTTACAATAAGAAACCAAATCTTTCAGCGATCCGTCGTATGTACATTTTAATGGGTGTCCAGGTGAATCTTTGTAACTGAAAATATGTTATTGTGCATGTGTTATTATATATACACACGTATCAGTAAGAGAGGGGTAAATCTGATTACACTACTATCATATATCTGTAAAATAAACTGCAGTAACGTCGTATTAACATACGTAAATTATACAACAAGTTTGTGTTCCTTTGCTCTTATGACTTGTATCATTTTAAAACTTGCATAGAATTAGTACAATATGCATATAAAAAATAAACTATAACATCAGAATAATGAAAGCCACGAGGTATAACAATAAGGTTTAGAAAATAATTAATTTAAAAAATTTATTTTGAAAATTAAACAAACATGAGGCTATTGCCTTCAAATTAGTACTCTTGAGACTGTATACTACAGACTGTCTTTTGGCTACTTTCGATCGATATCGGCAATAAACGGAATAAATCATGAAAATCTGAAAACGGTATTATCTGCACGCTACGATTACACCTTGAATGTCTTTCGATAAGAGACAGGGATAATTATTTATTTATTCTCAATAATTCTTATTTCTTGATTGATAAATATAATAAAATTAATTAAAAAAATATAATTTTGTTAAATGAAATTAATGATGCTTAATTACAAAAATTATATAGAACATATTGTGGATATTGATATACGGGGTGGGCCAGAAGTAATAGGACAGTGACTTTCATGAAATACGTCAGACACGACTGCTCTATTACATGTGTGCCATTCTGTATTATGTCACATATACGGTAAGTGGCATAAGTAATACGGCAGTTTACATTTTTTACACTCTTATCGAAAGAAATTCCGTTATAATTGTATTGCGTTCATTGCAAATATTGATCGAACATGACCTAAAGACGATCGACTCCCTAATCGAGATTCTCAACTATCTCGTATATTCGGGTATCTCATGGATAGCCAGGTAATCTGTTAGTTTTTGTTTACGTCGGTTATCTATTGATTGTAACTTTTATGGTATCTATGCCCGCGTTACATTACAAGGTGCAACAGTAAAGTTTCGACAATAGTTTTGTTTTCATCAATGTGGACGCAACTGTTTAAATTGTTGTCACTATGGGGGAAACAATATTATACCTCGTAACTTTATTGTCACACCTCGTAATGTAACACGGGTATTACAACAGATACCAAAAATGTTACAATCAATAGATCTGAAGCTGGAATGCGTGCATGTAGTTCTAAGGAGTGTATTTTGAAGGCGATCGCCTCACATCTGCATAATTTACAAAATACAATTTTTAAATGATTTATTCTCCAAACTTTGTTGTTATACCTCATTTGTACTGGTTATTCAGCAAAGATGTAAAAAAATAAGAAGAAAAAGAACAATCAAAGAATACAAATAACAAAAATTAGTTGCTTTTACGTTTTGAAAAATATCGGTTTCAGCATGAATATTAATTATAATATGTTCATTCTGAACGAAGGAAGTTACTGCAGCACTCCCATTAATTATAACTAAAGTACAATTGTACGACAAATTACATTAGTACAAGGACTCTAGACACGATCTAAATCGAATATAAAATGTCAATGAGTTATCGTTGTCGCTGCTAAATCAAATTCACCCGCGACTGTATTGTAAGTAGTAAAAGTACGTAACGAATTCGTTAAAAAAAATATTTAGTGAATATATACTGCATAACATTCTATACAAATAAAACACTACTGTAATGAAAAAGTAATCAGAAATTCTTACTTTTGACATTTAAAAAACTGCAGTAGATATGGGTCTGTGCCAACTCTTTGTGCCACAGCTCTCGCCATTTGATCATATGTCATTCTCAATGAGAGTTCCATTGTAAAGCCTGGATCATTAGGAATCGTTTTGTCGCAAAACGTTACTTCAACTCTATGAAACAGATCCCTGAAATACAAGATTTATTCAATAATTTACAATGGATCAAATTTATGTAAATTATGTATTTCTTACAAAGTTACATAAATAACTTACTTAAAGTATTCTCTACATGTTGGAAGTTCATACATATGATTGTCTCCTTCTTTTTGAAAAACAATAATATCTCCGTCCATTAATTCTTCAAGGACTTTTTCTAACGGATCTGTTAAATTGTCTATTTTTTCAACCAAATTTGGTTTTATTTCTTCATAAAGGGCTAATTCTGTACCCGGCGGGAATCCGGCTCTTTTGTTTAAAATTGGTATAAGTTCCTCTGCATAAAACACGGCATAGATATTAGAAATTTATATGAACAATTAAGACATTCCGAACTAAAATGATATTTCTAAGGAGTCTATAATTAATATTAACAAAAATAACGATTATAAAGAAATATTTAACGAAATTCTTCAAATTTTGTAAATTGTTTTAAATGAAACTTACGGACTTTAGTTGTGACAGGCATATAATGATGACCACAATAATGTATCTTTTTGTTTTTAGGATCGTACAGTTTAAAGAATAACAAAACATCAGTGTCTTTATCAAAAGGTGGCAATGCTGTTAAATCTGAATCTGGAGGAACAAGTTCAACAAATACATTCCAAACATTTGGGTTTTCCGAGTACTGGTAAATGGATTTCTGTGTATCAGGTTCTAATTCGAGCGGCATTGGTCTACAGGTGTGATTTGAACGTACATTCAGTGGCCATAAACGAATTTGCTCTATTGGATATTTCTGTAGAAAAATCCCACCACATTAGATGCTTGAATTACATAGTATTAATTGAAATAGTATTTATTAATTGTGTTTTTAATCACCTACCGTACTCTTAGATGATCACGAAATTATAATGTATAACCAGGTAATGGCACATATTAATAAGTCACATCAATATATCAACATTAATTAATTGCAAATATGTCGACATATTGGCAACAGCATAGCATTTCAATATAGTATCATGTGAGTAATAGCATGAAAAATTGTTCAACAATTACACTTACCAAGCTATCACTCAGCAATTCAAGAAACTCGTGCAAGGTACACTGCTTACGCACGCGAAATACACGATACAAAGCATGCTCTGGATCATACAAGTCATTTCCTTGGTGACCGTCAAAGTTATCCTCGAGAAGGACGTTGACGGTTATATACAAGTATGCTTCTGTTCTTTCCTTTCTTCTTATTTGTTCCAGCCTCTTCTCCTCTTGCAATCTCTCCACCAGCTAGACCAACAAAATTAAAATTATCCATATATGTACTAAATTCGTCTCATTCGTAATTTTTCCTCATCTGTCTTCTAAAATTTCAACTTTTAGAAAAGCAGTGTACTAACATCATGCTTTTGAGATTCGAGGACAGATAGTAATCGAAACACCAAAAGAATGAATTTTGTTTCTCGGTTATGTAATTTTAATTTTGTTCATCTGCCGCAATACAGACTACTAAGTCAAACAGTTACACAATGAAAATTATTCAACTGTAAATAATGGTTTCGTGGATGCTGAAGTTAATAAAAGTAAATTTAGCAAAACATATATAATTTAGTATTAATAAATCATTAAATTATTTTAAATACACAAATCATATTTTCATATCTTAAAGGGTTTCAAACACTATTAACTCTTTAGATCTTTAAACATTTTGAATTTTAAATGTGTATTATATAATGCCAAATTTCTACTAAATTATAACACACAGTTGTTTTATCATGTATCAATTTTAAACAAATACTATAAATCACTTATATAAATTTAAAAGACTTTCTTTAAAACACGTGACCATTATTTATGCTGAATAATAATAAAAATGTAATGTATGATCACAGCAGTGTGGAGATGCTTTACAATTTTCAAATGTTAAACAAATATACTTTAAACAAAAATATGGCTGCGAATTTTCAGTAATTAAAAATGGTTACTAAGTAACTAATGTGAAATCTATTTTGAAAAATTTTCTAGCACTCAACAGTTTATTTCATACTTTTTCATTACTTTTATGTCTAAAATATTAGTATATTATGTATAGGTACTTTATAGCTATTATGAAATAGTATTCACTCTGTCGATGATGTATTGAGTTTTTCTATTTATTAATATGTAACAACAAATAAATAGGTGGCATCTGTTGATGATCATATTGACTATTAACATTGACAAAATTTAATGAATTAACGACTCGATCAATTGATTCAGACCTTAGTGTAAGGTTCAGTATCCTACTTTTTTTATTTACGTTAATTCGAAGTGTTAATTCACGAAAATCACGGATCTGATCATATAAACCACAATTCATTTCACTTATTAAATGATTTTCATTAAATAACAAACACACCGTAGAAGACATGTTAAGGAAGAAGCTGACATTGTTAATAAATCCTACTTATTGTTCATTTCTCTCTTTTATCCCTTAACTGTATCTGTTTCATGAGTTAAGACCCAATGCTCCAAATTAGACTTCTAATAATTATCTCACTATATTAACTAATAAGTCTTTCATGCCCTTATTCTGCTTATAGTTATTCACACATTTCCAACCTATTCTGCGATATGTCCTGTGCATTCTTCACTCAAAGCTTTAAAATACTACAATACAATTATTCATTTCAGATATAATATTGTACAATATTTATTACAATAAACATTTTTAAACGATACTAAGGCTCATCATGATTACGCCTATTAATCAAATTCTATATCAGCCCAATTGTAATTCTTTATAGGACCTGAAGTGCAACGCGTACAATAATTATGGCTGTATACTCTTCAGTCAATTAATGTGTTTAAATATACATATACATATACATATATATATATAATATATATGTGTATATATATATATATAATATATATGTGTATATATATATATAATA